TAACTTTTGTTAAATCATCAGTGTGTGCTTGTGAAAATTTGTTCACAGCTCAACCACTGCTTTGTATGTTGGTAGAGTTTCCTAGACAAACCTTTGTTTTCCCTGAAGTTTTAAATTTTCTACTGTCACACCCATCAGACTATTTTCTTACTTTCTTGGTGTCATGGAGCGTCCCCCATACCATGGCTCCAATCAGGGTCAGCTGTACCGGGTCCTCCCGAGACAGACTTCTTGAGTTAGACTCTCTCCTGGACACCATGTCCTTCCCTTTCTTGGCCTAATTTCCCCTTTGGTGGAGTGTATCCTCCAGTAGTTTTCTATGAATGGGTGCCTGTAAGGGAATGTTTCATTACATATTTGAAAATGTCTGTTTCATTACATATCTGAAAATCTCCCTGTGGTAATTATTATTTATTATATTACTTGACACATCCAAGGCCATGTTGACTCCAATACTTTTACATGTGACTTTTGTTGCTTACTTCTAGGATCTTTGTCTCCAGGATTCTGGAATGTTGTAATAACGTGTCCCACGTGCCTGCACTTATGAGAGGATGACATTTAGTGGGCTCTGAACATTTGACTTTTTTACTTTCAAAAATTCTTTCATTTATGATTTATTTGATAATTTTATCATTTCTTCTCTTTTTGTTGTATTTCAGAAACTCCTGTTGGTCAGACACTGGGCAGATGAACTGGATTGATCCCTAAACCTTCTTAATTTTTGTTCCTGATTGTTTATCTCTTTTCCTTTTGTTTTATTTTCTGGAAAAATCTCCTGAATTTCTCTTTCATCATTTTCATCAATTTTTTAATTTTAGGTGGACTCCCGTATTCTTTATTACTGCCTAAAAAATTGTCCCAAAATTTTGCGGTTGAAAGCAGCAAACATTCATTATCTCAGACATTTTCTGAGGCTCAAGGATCTCGGAGCATCTTAGCTGGGTGGTGCTGTCTCAAGGTCTCTCAAGACGCTGCAGTCAAGCTGAAGGTTGGGGCAGTAGTTACCTAAGGCTTGATATGGTTGGAAGGTTAACTTGCAAGATAGCTCATTTGTAGGATTTTATTGGGGACCTCAACTCTTCAAGACCTTAGCCTCTTCATAAGGCTTTGGTTTGACATTCAGTTAGCTTCCCCAGAACAAGTAATTCAAGAGAGAGAGTGGACATCACAATGTCTTTTTATGACACCAGAAGTGACATAGCATCATGAATACCCTATTCTATTGGTCATACAGACCAACCCTGGTCCAGTGTGGGAGGAGACTATGAAAAGGCATGGACCCCAGGATGAGGGATTATGGGGGAGCATCTCAGAGACTAGCTACCACAGCTCTGCATTTCAACTTTGGTTGTTTCTCTTCCTCCTCTGCCTGTGCCTCCCTTTTTGGAGCTGCCTCAGTTGGGAATCCTCTATGACCCCAATCCAAATACAGTTGACCCTTGAACAACATGAGTTTAACTGCACAGGTCCATTTATGCATGGATTTTTTTTCAATAAATACTGTAAATATATTTTCTCTCCTTTATAATGTTCTTAATGACATTTTCTTTGGCTTAATTTATTGTGAGAATACTGTATGTTATACATACAACATACAAAATATGTGTTAATTGACTTATATGTTATCAGTAAGGCTTCTGTTTACTAGTAGCAGAAGGTCCTCGAGAGGACCTGGAACAGCTGTTATCAGTAGTTAAGTTTGGGGGGAGTCAAAAGTTATATGCAGATTTTTGATTGCACAGGAGTCAGTGCTCCTAACACCTGCATTAAAGGTCAACTGTAGGGTCAAATGCTGTTTCTTGGCTCCTGAGACAGCCAAACTCCAGATATCACAGTAGGCTGCCAGACAGTCCAGCCTCTCAAGGCATCAGCCCTCCCACTGCTCTCTGTTGCCATCACATTTTGCTTCCCAGAAACATTTATTTTGTTTTTTAGTTTACTTATTTTCTATTTTCTCTTTTTATATCTTACCTCTTATTGAAACAGAGACTATGTGCCAAAGCAATAACAAAGTCCTGTTCCACTCAACCCGAAGCTTCTATTCACCATCCATCTTCCAAAAATTGATTGACACTTTTTATTTGTTTTAGTCTTCTCACCTGTTTTCATTATCTTTGGGTTGATACTTTCTTTATTCTTTATTTTATTTTTTATCCATCATCTTATTCTGGTTTTCAAAAGGAGCGGACACAAATAAGGTATTTAATCAACTCTCTTTCTGCCTAACTCTTCTATTCATAAGTGAGCCTGTTTTTTTCTGCTTATAAACATGCAAGATAATATTGCTACTCAAGCAGTGTCCATATTTTCAGATTATGTGACACCAGAGTCTTTTCTGGAATCCAAAGAAAACTTCCATTTGAAAAGGTGATCTTGTTTTATGAGTGATGTTCAGTCAGTGCTCTAAAAATGTTAACTATCGCTATCATTTTTGTACTGATCAGGGCAAAAAAAATAAACAACTAACAGCCCCACGTTTGTGATTATAGATCTAAATATCACTCACTGCATTATGGAAGATGTGTAAAACTCCCTCAACATATTGTCTATTCCCAAATGTAGCAGGGATCTCTGAGTCAGCGCCAGTGGTCTGTATGCTTGCTGTCATCCAGAAAATCACAAATGGGTGGCTGGGTTAGATGTCTAGACTGGGGATGTCTCTCTGGAGGGCAGTTGAAAGATAGGAACTGGCAGTTGAAGAGAGATTTCTGTGATATCCAAGGATGGGGACAGTGGCTTGCGATGGGAAATAAGGGGCCACTGAAAAAGCAGCACATGGGTGGCACCCCTCTTTACTGGAGGGCATGTTGCCAAGGCTCAGGCAGACATGGGTGGAAGGGCAAAGAACAGCCCATGGACTCTGTCTGGCACAGCTGCCCGCACATGGTTGATGCTTTTCACACACAAAAACGTTTGCCTCTAGCTATTGGCTGGGCAGAGGGTCAATAAAAATACTGCAAAATCAACAGGCCTGCTCAGTAGTGTGTGAACCAGCTTTGAATGTTGCCAAGTTCCCCTTATGCTAACCCAGGCTGAACTGGGCTGGGCTGGGCAGGGCTGGGCTGGGCTGGGCATGGGGGAGGAGAGATTGGACAGAGGGCAGCAGAATACATGTAAACGGCATGGGCTGTTCTGAGAGTAAAAAGAGGAAATATCTGATTATTCAAAAATTATTTCCTGGCCTATTCATAAAAACAAAAAAAAATGTATGTGCATATTTAGATCCTTTATTAGTTTTAGGAATAAAAAGATAATTTTTGCTGCCTGCCAGACACAGTTCCTTCCTGCAGTCTAGTAAACATAATAAACCTCAACTCATGAGCATTTTAAAATAGCAATATTAAGTTAATAAGTTAGTAAGAGCCCACACTGTTGGTAGCCCACAGAAACAGCTATGGGGGAGGAAATAGTTTTCCTTGACCCTCTTAGGGTCCCTGGCTGACCTGAAAATTAAAGCGACAGAGTCAGATTAACAGGAGAAAAGCACGCACATTTTATTAAATTTGTATGTGTGTGGGAGTCTTCACAGGAGAATGAAGACACCAAGAAGCGACCAGAGCAGGGAGCTTTGAGATCTTTTGGACAAAGAAACAATAAATTTGTGAAGAACTGACAAAACAGTAAAGACATTACTAGAAAGAGAAGGGTGAATTTACCAAGGTTTATTGGCAGCTCCCTATGGTGCCATCTCTGGGCTGAGTCTGTTCCAGGACACATCTTACGTACTTGTCTAAGTACTTTAACAGTGTTAACCCATTTGACCCCATTTTCAGATGCAGAAACTGAGGCATTAGAGATCACATAAAGTCAAACAGGTGGCTTGGCAGAGCTGGGATTCAGGCCCAGGAAGTTTCCTGTTAACCGCTCTGCCATATGGACCTGCAGGCAATATATGAACCTTCATGAGCACAAAAGGAATTGAGACAAAGAGAAAGGGGCAAGAGACAACTGACCAGCCTTCCTGGAATTGCCTGCTGCCTTTGTAAAAATATATTTGATTGGCACTTTTCATTTATAAGCATCACACACCATTGGAGTCTCAAACCAATATTATATTAAGCAAACAAATTGTGTGTGTGCTCATATACTATACACATAATATTTGCTTAATTGACTAATATATTTAGTATACTCTAAGAGTACTATTAATGTTTGTAGTTAATGCATTTGTAGTTGCACCAAAATGCTTCTCAGTTTGCTTGCCCTTGGTCTTAGAATGAAGACCAGCTAGCTGGCACTAGACAACCCCCTTAGGGAAGAAATGTTTGGGAAGACGATAGCTAGTTCAGAAGGAAAGGTTGCACAGTAGCATGTATGTCCCTTGGCACAGGATATTTCAACAAAACAAGAGAAAGGGGTAGCCTCCATTGACTATTTTACTCAGTGCAGGGCACTCGCTCTGCATCTTCTTTTACAGATGAGATAACTTGGAAGGATTAGGTAATTTGTTCAATTTTCGTTTTTTAATAAGAATGCTTTGATATTAGTATTAGCGAATTAGTTTGTTTTTCTCTATAAAGACACATCATGAGTGTTAATCATCTTTTCTCCGTCTTGAATTATTTCAAGAAAAGAAAACTTGAGAATCCACCTCAGAAGATGCTACCAATTAATGTACTCAAATACCTACATATACATTAATTATGCTGAACTTATGACACTTTCCAACACTTTCCACCTACAACAATGGCAATTTCATATGGTTCAACTATATATTGTTCAAAAAAAAAAAGACAGTTAGCTTTTTTCCATGAATAAATTTCTTAAAACTCTTAAATACCGTGAGAATGATGTACATTCATCTGACAGTTCTTCCATATGCAACAGCTTCTCCCACATCTACTCTATTTCTATTGATACATTGCCACAGCATCTCATCACTTCCAATCATCAGTGTTCAACCCTCCAAGAACAGAAAACTATGTTTGCTTTTCCCAGTCAGTTGGGACTTACTAAGCTGTTTTTACCCAGAACCCTTTCCCTTTCCCTCTCCCTAGGGCTGTGTCTGCACGGACAAAGGCCAGTGCTTCTGCAGCGGGGCCAAAGGGGAGAAGGTAAAAACAAAACCTTAATCTGCTTCTTTGCTCTTTGGAGCTCATCCTGGAGCTCACACTCTTCTTTCACTAAGGGCGGGAAGATCAGCAGTGTGTTCTTCCATTCCTCAAATCCAATGCTAAAGTAATTGTATGTAAAAATTAACCTGAAAAAAAGGGGAGGGGTGTGAGAGCAACTTCAGATAACTGGTGTAAATACAGGCAGTTATTTTAACTCTCTTGGCCTGTAAAGGAGAAATGGCAAGTTAGCAAAAAGAGGAGTTGATGTATACCTTATTTACAATTTTGCTAAACACGAGAGAACTGGAAATAACTTAATTCACTCTCTTTGACATAAACTAAACATTGAAACGCTACCATTTTAAGTCCTGTGGCGTTGATGCAGGCCCGCCCCCTGGTGGAAGGATCCCGTAGCAACACTCTTCTTGAGGCAAATGTTTAGCAGAGGGAAGTGGCTCCATTGCAGAATTCAAAGGGGGGAGGGGGGGGGGCGGGGAGAGAATGCGGTGAAATCTCATTAATTCGCTCCATTAAATTGCAATCTGTGATAATTAAGACAGAGACAGAACTAAAGCTGTGTCTTTGTTCACAAAACCTTTTCATTAGATACACTAACGATTTACTTAACAATATTGAAATGTAACTGCTTAAAAGTATTTTAAAAAAATGTTTTAAGCTCTCTAGACAAAATAATCATAATTTATATAATCACTATAATAGCTATTATTATATTTATTTTAAATTATTCTAAAATTCATGTGTAGTTGTTTTAGGTTTTTTCCCCAAAACTATTATACTCAGATTCATGATGGAAACTGTGATTCAATCTCACATTCTAGAAGCAGTATCGAATCCCTACTGTGTTCAAGATGCTATCTAGGATGTGTGAAGGAACTTGAGTATTGAAAGGAGTGTATTCCTCATTTTATTGAGTGTATACTCTCCTCTCTCTCTCTCTCTCTCTCTCTCTCTCTCTCTCTCTCTTTTAAAATATAATTTGCCAATTATGTAACTAAATTGACTGAATTAACTGGTGGCTTTTACTGTTGAAAAGAACTCCAGGATCCACTTCCATGGGAAGATTCTTTGTTGACAGAGAACCATGTAACACATTGGGCCTAAATTACTTACCCTCACTCATTATTAGGGGCTTTTCCATATCACCTGACTCTTTCTAAAAAAGACTATTTAGCTCACACTGATACGTATGCCACCCTTAACATGTCTCCTGCACAAATATCATATTGAATTACGAATTCCTATGTAATCAAGAAAGAACTAAGATGCACAGCTTGCATGTTGTTCTTTTCAAGCTACAGGGCAGTTATGCACACTCCCAGCAGCATTCCTGGCCTTGTACTCACTATCTCCGTCTTTCAACAAACATACTACTGACCTCAATCTTTCTAACTGGGTTTCCCCTCCTTTCTGGATTTTATTTTTCTTTCTCTCCCTGCTCAGTTAACTCTGCCATTTGGGCTAATGTTCTTACAGATCAAGAGCCAGCACTGCCAAGTCTATGGACAATGCTAATAACCGGCAGCTTTTCAGTTACTGATCCACTCACTGCTGAGGGCTGATTTTTGTTTACATCTAAGGGCGGGGGGGGGGGGGGGGGGAGAATATGCAAAAAATGTTACCAAGTTATAAATGGGGAAAAGCAATGGTTAAGGTTATGGATGTCATTGAAGAGTTTCTGTTCTGTGTGTTTCTCCTCTTGTTTTGATTTTAATAGGGAGAGAAAGGTCTTCCCGGACCCGCTGGTTCTCCTGGTCTGAAGGGATTCCCAGGTCCTGAAGGCTCACCTGGACTACAGGGACCCAAGGTACATCAGTCTGAAAGTTTGAGGAATACTCAGCCCACCCAACCTTCTTCATGCCTACCCTCTGGGCTCCTAAAAACATGGAGAGAATTCCACATCTTAGCTGACCAGCGCAAATGATCGTTATCTTCAAATCCTCTACTCAACTTCCTCCTCCCCCATCTACATAGCTTCTTCATCTGCATCAGATCCTACTTTCTTCTCTTCTGCATGGAAAGATGAGTTCTCTTCACCTTCCATTCAGGACCAACCCACCCCCTTCCCCCGCCCCCCTCCACACACACACACACACACACACACACACACACACACACACACAGTACCCTGCTCACTGGGATTACAAGTATAACCTTATTCCAAGAGATATCTCCTTTGTCTTGGGATATTCCAGCTTTACTTTTGATGTCAGTCTTTCTCTCTCAGTCCTTAAACATGCCAATATTTCCCCATATTAATATAAACATCCTCTAGACCTTACAAGTACAGTGACCAAAGGCTTGCCATCCTTTCCCTGTCTTCCCTTTCTGTCAAACTTCTTTAAAAAAAAAAAAATAGCTAACCAGGCTGTCTATAGTTCATCTCCATTCACTCCTCAGCAAGTGATAATTCCTTCAGCCCCCTTTCTCCTGACAACACTCTTGCAGAGATCACCCATGATTCCAAGTTGCCAGTGTCTGATCTGAACCCCTCTGCTTTGTCTCAAAGATCACGGAGTGGATTGCTCTCTTCTCCTTGAAACTCAGTTTTTGTTTCTGACTTTCTTCTTGCTGCCTGCCCTTCCTGTCTTCCTTGGGTTCCTTTTTCTCAACTCTTGCCTTAAGCATCAGGGGCCCTACATTCTGACAGAGCCTACTGCCTTTCCCACTGGTCACACATTTTTATCCTAAAGTCTGTGATAAAACAAAGGGCTTTTGTTTAAATCAGTGTCCTAAAGGATTTGCTAAAGAACTCATAACTACTAGAATGCTGATGGCTCTTTCCTGCCCTGGACATTAGTCAGACATAAGCCTGGGCTCTCACCCACTCCTATGATTACAACCCTGACTGCTGGCCTCCAGCAAATGATGAACTAACCAGTAAGTTATGAAAGATAATCAAAATTGACCTCCACATAGTTTTTTTTTAATTTCATAAATATTGTTTAGGATATTGACATGGTCATCAAAAGCAATATTTACTGAAAATTTACTCTGTGTCAGGCACTGGACTGTGTATTCCTAACTGCACCTCATTTACACCTCACAGTGGTTCCAGAAATCAGGATGGAGACTCATAGCCTAGTTCTCATTATTGTCTCCATTTTATAGATGAGGAAACCAACACTCAGAGCACTTAAGTAATTTGTCCTTGGTCACACAGCCAACAGGTGGTTGCTTTTATACAATGCCAGCATCAAACTCCTTAACCAAAGAAGCTAAAACCACACCTGTAGTTCCCAAGTAAAAAATGCAAAGTTGGCTTGTTCTCCAGAAATTCCACCATTTCCTGTCTATCCCATTCATGTATGCATTGTTTCTCCATTTCTCCTTCTTGTGATCCTAATTTTGGAAAAGTCAATTGGATTCTGGACATCCTATGTCTGAATTTGGAAACATTCTATGGCCTCCCTTCAGGTGTGACTTCACATTTTCTCCCGTTTGGCTGGTAGAATGAATTTGCCATTTCAACCCTGTACATCAGATCAACTAAATTCTAACTCATTCTTTTTCATTTTGTTCTCTATACCCTGCTTGTTTCTCTCAGCATCTCTTTTGTGATGCAACCAATAAATTAAAATGAAGGTTCTGAACACATGGTGCTCAGAGTTCAATGATGTGCAAGGATTCGGTAAAGCTAATTCAGAAGGCCCTGTGCCACGTTGACATGGAGTTCATATTTTAGAGCACAGCTTACAGATGTGGTCACACAAGATCATTTGATCCAAGGCAGGCAAGGATATCAAAACCTGACCAAAAGATTTTTCAAATGTATAAACTTCCAACCTTACTTTTAAATATTGTTTTGCATGAGAATATTTAAAACAAGGAAATAAAACTTGCAAGTCCATCCTCTGCCTTCTGCAAACACAAGATAGCATCCTGCCGAGAAGGGGACATGATCACATAGCCTGTAATGTCACCTCTTCCAGGAAAGTCTGACTTTGGCCTTGACCATCCAATCTTAGAAGACTCTGTCATCCCTTTCACGAAATAACAAAACAAAACATACTGAAACTCTCAGGAATGATGAAAACAGCTTTTGGACAATGGAACTTTCCCACCCAGTAGTCTAGTTAAAATAGTATCCACTTAAGGTGATTATTCTCTAAGAAACAGGGCCTCAAAACTGTGCTCATTGTGCGCCCAAAGCAAGCTTATCTCTGATTCAGGCAGTTCTTCCTTGGCTAACTATCTGCTCATGGCAGGTTCATTTTGTGAATGAAGTATTTCTCATGCACAGAAACATTGGCTGTTGTCCTCAACCATCTTTGCAACTGTCGCTCATTCTTATCAGACCCCAGCAGCTGTCAGCTCCAGGGCGGGTTCACCACAGAACTTGTCAGACACTGATGTGAACAGGAATCATCACTGCATCTTGTTGAGAGGTGGAATCCCAATCAATAGGTCTGGGAGGCGGGGGCCCTGAGATTCTGCTTTTCTAACAAGCTCCCGGGTGACGCTAATGTGTACACCCTTACTTTGAGTCACAAGGGTTTGAATGAAACTTTCTCTGTCTATCCTTACTGGTAAATATTTTAGCTCCAATGAAACAAGCAAGTAAGTGAGCCATGTTCACGATGAAATAATCACAAGAGCAAAACTCTTTGGTATGTCAATAAAACTGGGACCTTTCATTTATGGGTGATTTTTGGGGGGGGGGGGGTGTAAATAATTATCTTGGTGTTTACTTTTGTTTTCCACTTGGATCTAGGGCGCTCCAGGACTTCCAGGACTCACTGGTCCCAAAGGTGTAAGGGTTAGTAGTCCAACCTGATGGCTTAATGAATTATTTTTTTTTAAAGCACTGCAGTGTAGAAGTTATACAAATGTCATGAAGAAGTACATTGTTTATGGTGCACTTCTATAGATGAAGTTCAAGAACAGGCAAATTTATAATGGTACAAGCCAAGATAGTGGTGACTATGTGGGGTTGGTGCTAACGGATGGAAAAGGCATGAGGGAACCATCCAAAGTGATGTTTGTGTCTGGACTGGGCATTGATAACACCAATCTGTATACACACATGTATTGGTGTTCATGGAAGATTGGAGCACTGGACTCTAATCAATTTACACCTTTAAAGTCTACCCCCAAAACTCTTAAACAATTGTATTCATCTCTTTTTAAAATTGATATAAATATAAGATTTACAAAAGTTTGACAAACCTTTTTTTGTGTTTTAAATAGTTTTTAGCCATTCCAAATTATAGTTGCAGGAGGGGGCTATTGGAATGGTAAATAATTTTCTGTTTATAAGTTGAACATTTCAAATGTTTTTCTTGCCACCCTTCCCTTTTCTATGCCTTCAGGGAATAACTGGATTACCAGGATTTTCAGGGCCTCCTGGACTTCCAGTAAGTAATGGGGGAAATGTGTAACTGAAAAAATAAAAAGTGTGCTCATTTTAATACAAATGTTAAATCAGTAGCACAAGGAAATAGGTATTGATAATTTTGCTACATGATGAAAATGGCATAATAGAATAGCATAATATGTTAGTGTGGATTGGTAGGTCATACAAATCAAATTGTATTTCTTGAAAAACTAGAATAGACTAGAGTAGAATAATAGAAGAATAAAGCAAAAGATTAGACTAGAATAGAAAAATAGAATAGAATAGAAAGAATAGAAGAGAACAACTGTTTAATAACATACAATTATAAAATAGTTATCTCTGTGCACATTTCCCTCTTCTTTTTCCTTTTCTTTCCCCAGCTTAAAACAGCATGTTAAGGGATTTTGTGTTATATAGAAAGGCCTTTTGTTTTATTTTCAATAACTGTACCTCCCTTGACAATTCTTTGTTTTAATTAGCCCATTTTATTTGTTATTTCTATTTAAATTATTTTCTAAAATGACCACATTTATTACTTAAATATTTAATAATCACTTATATTTAAACAACTATCTAAATTAGCTCTTCATTTCCCTCACGTTGACTTCCTCGCTGTTTCCACCTGATTCCTGGGCCTGGTTGCTTCTCCTTTTTGAAACTTACTCTGTTTGCAGGGCAGCCCTGGCTATCCTGGACCTTATGGTCCTGCTGGTTTACCAGGATGCAATGGTTCTAAGGTATGTACTTCTTACACAGGACTTGATCAGTCCTTGTTTTGCTGAATGAGCCAATCAAGCTGAAGTAGCAATGAGGTAGGCTAGACTTTTCTGGAAACATCCTTTTAACCAAAACCAATGGTACTTGTCTTCAGGGCAGAAATGTGATGTTTGAACCAGGAACCTACCTGTTTCCTTTTTTCCTATGCCTTGGTTTCTGATTGTCTTTGGAAGAAGTGCTTTCCTAGTTGTTCATAGAAAGATAATGAGTTCTTTTCATTTGAGATTGTGAGTATATATAAATCAGAAACTCAAGCTGGGAATGCAAGGTATGTCTTTGGAGAAGGAGGACTGAGCTTTTTTAGGTTCATTCGTCTCCTTCGTTTCCTGACTGCCCGCTCTTCTTCCCAGAGTGGTGACCACTGAGGTTTTGAGGAAACAGCAATTCAAAAGTTCTTGGCACAATTAAGCTTTCACCATTTATGCACAGTTTGAGAAACAATAGATTTTAATACTGTTTTCAATTAAGACAATGGTTTTCTGACCTTCAGACCATACGGAACTTTGGTGACTTTGTCTAGCTTTACCATTGCAGGGTTGGAAGAGAGAAACAGGGAAAATATCTCAACAGACTGGTTTAGATCAAGTAAGAAGAATGACAAGTTTTGTACGGTCTTTCTTCCAGGGTGAGCAAGGATTCCCAGGATTTCCAGGGACACCAGGCTACCCAGGGGTCCCGGTAGGTTTTCATTTCTAACTATCATCAGAAACATAAAGTGAAATGTAAGTGGTTTAGTTCAGAATGGCCATGCATTGAAACCCATCATGGGGATGTCTGGTGCAGCCAAGAGTACTAGTAAACACTAAACTGATAGTTAGGGAATGAATGAACAAATGACTTATGAGTTCAGGTTTATGTGTTGAGACTTTTTTATGCTTTAAAGGAATACAGTGGAGCTGAGTAGTAAGTAGAGGAGAGACTGGGAGAGAGTAACTCAAAGAGTGAGAGTATGGGGTAAGAGGGTGGCTTAGAACCAGGACTTAAAGAGCTCCAACACATAACCTCTAGGTCAAGGAGAACAAGCCTGTGAAGGAGGCATAACCCTGGTGGTAGAAGGAAACCAGGAGGAATGTATGATGGAAGGGCAGGAAAGACATGTTTTAGTAGAGGACAGTGACAGACAGACTGCTACCTAATGCTGAGAATCCAGTAAGAGAGAAACTGGCATTTTGTGATTGACTTTAGCAATGTCAAAGTCATGGCAGAACTTAGCAAGGAAGAGAGGCAGGTGACAGCTGTGGGACTGAAGAATGAGTCAGAGATTAACAGAACAGGAGGTGTGCAGATGACATGAAGAGAAGGGCAGTACTGCGGAGGCAGGGGAAGATTTAGGGCAGACTCTGTCTAAATGAGAGTGACTTGAGCATGTTGTAAAGGCAGCAAGAAGTACACAGTGGAGGCAGAAAGTAGAATAGAGGGAGAATTGGGATGTTGTTCACTTGATTTGTGTCTAGTGGTTAATATGCCACTTTCTTTCCTAGGGTGCCATTGGCTTAAAAGGAGAAAAGGTAAGACATCTGTGTTATGTTATTATTGAACATCTCTAATTGTACATATGAAAGAGACTTCTATTAAGTAGTGAGATATAAAAATTACAAATGAGATTGCATCATTAATACAGAATCCATAATACTTGGGACATGATATTTATTTCTATTGAACAACGTCTCCTATCTCTCCTCATAAGGATACAAATTTCTTATCATCCTTTAAGGAAATAGAGTTTGGGAGAAAAGAGCTGGCCTCGAGGCTAGGACCCACATTCCACATCCAGAATTGCCACCAATTCTGGTATCTTGGGAAACCCCTTATCATCATTGTGTCTTCTTTCCTTCCTTGCACAGTAAATTATTAATTTTAGAAACTATGAAATGCTTTGAATTCTTCAAAATGAGATAACTAAGCCATTTCTCTAAGTATATACCCTAGTATCAATGAAAGAACATCCAAACCTATAAACAAGTTTTGTGAGAGTTTGAGCCAAATTTTTGAGGACATGCCCATAGCAAGCTCTCAAAGGATTGAGAAAAGTGCTGCAGAGAAACAGTTTTGCAGTTTCTTTTATGAATTTAGAATAAAGGGAGGAGACATAGGGAAGGTACATGAATCCCTTGGTGGTACATTAAGAGAGTGGGGAAAAGCAAAGCTAGGGAATCTCTAGGATTGGACACAAAGTGAAATAGAGAAACTTCTTTCCCATGGATGGGGACAGGAGGGTTAACACCTACAGCACATGGAGATGGTATTGGGCAACAGGATGACAATGAAGGACTTATGATCTCATGTTCTAGTGTCAGCATTTGTGCTTTTGGGGGTCTAGAAAAGGAAATGACTGAGATTTCAAAGCTAAATCATCTTAGATGCATAAGAACAGGGACATGGCTCACTTAAGGTAAAAACTGACCTTTGCTAAGGAGGCTATAGGCCTGGGAGGTGACCTGCCCAGTTCAGAATTGGTGAACAGATCATCCTGTGTGGTTACTTTTGGTCACTGAGCCTATCAGGTTGATTATGTAGCCCCTTTTTCATTCACACTGGAAAGTACTTTTATCCTTATAGTGGCATGACCTTGAATGAGCATGCAAAGGGTTTTTAAAGATATAACATTATGTTCAACGAACTTCATTTTCAAGGGTGCTCCCGCTGAAGGAAAAGATATAGAATATGATGGAAAAGGGGATCCCGGGCTGCCAGGAGCTCCAGGAATCCAGGTACAAGCACTTCAGAGAGCAGTCCTACCACCTTCGGTGCCCCTCTCCATTTTCTCCTGTCTGTGTGTCCTTCTCTCTCTCTCTCTCTCTCTCTCTCTCTCTCTCTCTCTCTCTCTCTCTCATCTCTATCTCTATCTCTATCTCTATCTCTATCTCTATCTCTATCTCTCACTCACTCTCTCCTCTCCCTCTTTGATAAAACTCAAGTCTAGACTTATATCGCACACTGAACACAATTTAAAACAGTGATGTTAAGTGATAGCTCTATTATAAAATTTGCATGATGGTAGATAATTGAATTTTCCTTAAACTCAGTCATAAATGGAAGGCGTCATGCTTCTCAGCTCTTATTAAAATATTTTAATGGGCTTTGTCTGTAGGTAAGAAGTACATTTATTCTTCTTATTTGTCTCTTAATTTGAAGGGTTTGCCGGGCCTCCCAGGTTTTCCTGGACCCGTGGGCCCACCTGGCCCTCCGGGATTCTTTGTGAGTACTAAGTTGCCATTGCTGTAGACACTATAAACTAATGAAAGAGTTACAGCTAAAACATTTAAACAGTTTTCTGGCTTGGTGCATTTCTCACTGTAATTATAATTTGTGGATTTTTTTTTAGGGTTTGCCAGGAACCATGGGGTCTCCAGGACTTAAGGTAAATTATAGTTCATGGGTCATATCAGCCATAACATCCTACCCAATGAGAAAGCCAAACCCAGTCTAATTCCACACATGGCTCAATACAGCTACCAGTATTATTTTTTCTTCAATCAATAAATAACAAATGTTGTTGAGGATGTGGACAGATAGAAACCCTTGTGCACTATTGGTAGGAATGCAGGTATGTGTAGGTATTATGGAATTGAGGTTCCTAAAAAATTAAAAATAGAGCTACCATGTGATTCAGCAATTCTAGTTCTGGGCATTTATCTGGGGAGGGGGGAACACTAAATAAATAAAATATATGTACCCCATTGCAACATTATTTATAATAGCCAAGATATGGAAGCAACATAGGTGTCCACATATAGATAAGTGGATAAAGAAGAGCAGATAAATGAAATATTATTCATCAATAAAAAGGAATAAAATCTCTTCATTTGCAACAACATGGATGGACCTGAAGGGTTTATGCTTTGGGAAGTAAGCCAGACAGAGAAAGACAAATACTATATGATTTCACTTCTATGCAGAATCTAAAAAACAAAACAAACGAACAAACAAAAAAACCAGACTCATAGATACAGAGAACAAACTAAGCATTGCTAGAGGGGTGGGATGAGGGTGAAAACAGTAGAGGGGAATATAAGGTACAAACTTCTTGTTATAAAGATATGGGGACTAGTGTACAGAGTCAGTAAATCAACAATTTTGTATGATGACAGATGGTTCTAGATTTATTGTGGTGATTACTTTGTAAGGTATATAAATGTAGAGTCACTATGTTGTACACCTGAAACATATAATATTATATATCAACTATATTTTAATTTTAAAAATAACACATTATTCCAAGGTTAAATAAAATGACAATTATGACCCTATGGGGAAAAGTTAAAATGTAAGTGTTCAGTTACAAGTATTAAAACTTCAAAGGGTTTAGAAAATGTATTCATATTTCTTTTAAAAAAATAATTTGGTTTTGTGTTTCTTACAGGGTCACATGGGTGATAATGTGATTGGACAAAAAGGAGAAAGGGTAATTTAAATACTATGGTTTATTTGTGGGCAAGATATTTGAAGTTCCATAACAATTAACTATACATTTTATTCAGTAAGTCACACTGAAATGAATGCATTTGTTGTGTCTTAAACTTTTGTTTTCTGTTTTCTTACAAGAGCACTAATGGGGAAAAGTAGCTCTCTCAAACATAGTAAAGATAATGTGGTTTAGTCTTTAATTCTTGAGTATATTTATCTTTAGGGTGTGAAAGGATTAATAGGACCTCCTGGACCACCAGGAACTGTTATTGTGACGCTGACTGGCCCAGATAACAGAACGGTAACTCTTCAATTTTATTATTAGGGTTGTGCCATTCCATTTCCCTTACATAGATAGATAGATAGATAGATAGATAGATAGATAGATAGAGATATATAGATAGATATATAGATAGATATGTATGTATAGATATATAGATGTATAGATATATAGATGTATAGATATATAGATATATAGATATAGATATAGATATATAGATATATAGATATATAGATATATAGATATATAGATATATAGATATATAGATATATAGATATATAGATATATAGATATATAGATATATAGATATATCTGTCACCTAATCCCTGCTCAGCCCAATCCTCTTAGCCTTACTGAGCCTCAAGGTTTTATTCCTTTCCTATTTTATACTCTTGAACCAGAAAATGTGAAATCTGGCTCAACCTTTACTCTCAGTCTTTCTCATTGTCACTAACACAGAGTGGGTATTTAGTGAGTATTTTTGAATAAATTATTACAAATTGGGCATGCAGCTCTGAGCCAACTGGATGGGCGAACCTAAAGATATGGATAATTATAAGGGACATTTTTATCCTGCCATCATAATCCCAAGGATAATTTGGGCCCCATTCTTCTCCAAGGATACTATAGTCTTGTATTTGGACATTAACATTTGGTTTCTGAGTACAGAGCTGAATCAAATGCTCAGAAGTGCATCATAATATCATACACTAATCCTGACCCTAGGTTGATCCTAGAATGTCTAGGAAGGTGGGATAGAGAAGAAAGGAGGTAGATAACAATTTTCTAGTGTATTAACTAAGAAATGAACATAACACACTCTTATCTTATAAACTTATAATTAATTGTGTTTTAATAAAAGCTTGATTGAGATATAATTCACATGCCATAAAATTCACCTTCTTTATTAAATTCATGGATTTTAGTAATAATGTATTTTAACAGCTGTATTAAATACAATTCCCAGACCATAAAATGACTTATTTAGTGTATAATTCAATGGCTTTTAGTATATTCATAAAATTTTGCAACCATTATCACACTTAATTATAGAACATTTGCATTACACCAAAGAGAAACCTCTTAGCCATCACTCTTCAATATAATTATTAATAATAGAAATTTTCAAAACAAAAGTTAAAACAAAACATAGTAAAATGTAATATGACAAAAAAAAATAATTCACATCAAAGACTAAGGGGAAAAGGGTGGAATTGACCTCAAGGAAAAAAACTAAATCTTCCAGAGGTAATAAAAATAAAATTAATAAATGTAAAAACTTTATTGGCTGAAAATTGATAGGAAAAAAATACCTTATCCTGATAAAAATCTAAATCTAGAAGATATCAGGGTGGGGAAATAAGTTTGAAAGAAATGATGCCCTCGAGAAAAGATGCACATTGGAAAAAAATATAATAAATAAAACATGATAAAAGCAAAAACAAATGTGATTAATAAATAAAATCCTCATTGTAACATTTACTCAGAAAATAATTGATCACAATTAAAAATACTTTCAATATATTAAAAATGAAGGTAAAACATATTAGAAATGATGTGATTGTGCTTATAGAAAGCTGATTCAGGAATTCAGGTTAGTTTAATGTAGTTTTATTTTTTTAAAAACATACTTTCTTTTAAAAAAGAGTATATGACTTCAGTGGGCTCATAGGTATAAAACTCAAAATGTGAAAAAACGATAATGTGTCATGTTAATAGGAAGTAGGTATTCTGTAAATCCAGTGTATTGAACAGATAGAGGACTTGTCCAAGTATAAGCAGTAAAATCTTGTTTAATCTGTTTGTAATGACCTTAAATTGTCTTTGTGGCAGGAACTCAAAGGGGAGAAGGGAGACAAGGGCACCATTGGCCAACCCGGACCTCCTGGACCCAGAGTAGGTCATTTAGAGTCATGTTGTTCCTTTGAAACACAAACTAAAACCTTAGTGAACATTTCGATGTCTGATCTATCTTCAAATCTTAAGATTAGCTAAAGATCAATAGTATTTTACCACAGAAGTCATGAGCATAGAAATTATTTTATGACCACTTCTAGTTGAAATCCTAGCACTGTTTTCACCCATCTTACAATTTATTTTCGGTATCTGGTTTTTTAGCACCTGCTTTTTAATTAATACTTATAAATAAGACTTCCCTCTTAGATGACCCTATCCTTTCAACATTTTTTAAATATAGCAGAATAATCAGAAGAGAACAGGTGAATAAAAATCAATGTGAGTAAAAATCAATAATTTGTAAAACTTGGCATAACTCTCATTAATTCAGGGACCACCAGGAGACTCTTATGGATCAGAAAAAGGTGCCCCTGGAGAACCTGGCTCACAGGTAAACTAAAAATGTCATTGTTATATGCCGCCTCTATTGGGCAGCAGTTAGCATTCTTTAGGTGGCAAGTATATGATGGCCAACTCAAACTAGCTTAGATTTTTTTTTTAATGTTTAAAGGTTTGGGAAACGAAATTTACTTGTTTAAGTATCTGAGAAGTTCAAGGACTCCAGAGACTGAAACAACATGAGCAGGATTCTTTCCACTTCTCTTCTGCTCCTCTATGTGTGTTTGCCTCATTCTCTTCTTTACCACATGATCTTCTATGGAGAGGGGCAACAAGAAGAATGAGCAACGTGTAGCAACAGACAACTACAGATTAATAGCCTCAAGGAGAAAGAGTGTGTCCATTTATAAAATCCCACAGAATCACTCTGATTGGCTCAGCTTGGGCCATGTGTTTAATTCTGGGAAAGTGACCATGTTCAGGAATAAAAGATACCATGATTGGCCAGGCCAGTGGGGCAGGGTGTTCCTGTGGCTGACAGCCCCATCAGAACCACACAGAGAGAGGACAGCTCCACAGGGCGCTGGGCACACTGTAATGGGAAGTGAATTACTGGGAAGATAGAGCAACAGGGGCCCTCTTTCCCACCCAGCTCTATTTTGAAAAGATTTAAATACATGTACATATTATTTTAAAACTCTCAAAAGTGTATACTGGGGAAAGTGTTTTTTGGTGTTTTTTTTTTCTAAGAAGAAATATTGAACCAGTGTGATTTTTAATTCTATCATGGATGGTGAATACCGTAATAGTTCATCCAAGAGCCCTATCTGTTTGGACATTGCAACACAGTTTTTATACATATATTTAAACATAGGCATGTCTGGAATTCATGGAACTGGCAGCACTTCAAATAAATAAATTGACTGTGAAACCTTCTACTTTTGGGGTTTTCTTGTCTACCTCAGCTCAGTGCTTGCTTGATTTTCCTTCCAAACTTGGATGGACAGTATCAATTTAAGCTTAGCTTTTAACTTCCTCTCTTTCTTCCTTATTTCTCATTCCCATTGGTCTCTGCCTTCCCTGTAAGAGGAGATGTTTGTGTGTTCTGTGATTAATATTTGTCCATCTATAACGGGGAGAGAAGCATCAGTCAAGCTTTCTTGCCCGAGGTTGAGAGGAGGTGATGATCTCATTTAAGTTTTCCATGTTTATTAATATTATCCACACTTACTAGATTACATGTTTTTGTTTTTGTTTGTTTTTTTAGGGGAAACCTGGAAAAGACGGAGCCCCGGGGTTCTCTGGCACTGAGGTACAGGCATGGTTTACCTGCTGACATAGTGAAAATGTCAATCCTATTAGATACAGGATTTTGTCTTAAGAGTCACTTAGTAGTTACAAACTAACCAAAAAACATGTAGTTTTTAAAAATTGAATTTGAGAATCATAATTTTACACTACAAAGAGAGGTCAACTGAGCACATTTTCTTTTTCCAAAAAGAAATTCAAACTGTTTTTGCTTCAATAGAAGAAATTGATTCATGTGCCTTCTGACCCATTTTTTTCGCTCTGTTCTTTAGGGACCCAAAGGCAGCAGAGGCTTCCCTGGGTTGAGGGGCGAAGATGGCATTAAGGTAAGCCCCTTCCTCATGTTCTACCTTCAGCCTTTTTCAATTGGTTGGGTTTTGCCCACTTTCTCCCCTCACTCTGTAACTAGGTACAAGAAGTTGCAAACAGTGTTCTTTAAAATACCTTAGTATACTTAATAAGAAGTGAGAAATGTAGCAACTTTACTTAAACACTTGAAGGTCTTTCTAGTTGAAAAGATATTAAATTTATTCTATGTAGTAGAAGCTTAGGACCAGTGAGATTTCAGCTCCCCACAAGGAAGGACCTGGAAAAGGCCTGGGATTGTGGTACGTTTCGGGTCATTGGAGGTCAAGCATAAGGATAGGTGGCTCCATGAGACTCAAGCTGGGCCGTGACACACTGAAAAGTCATCATCAATTAGTTGTGAAGTGTATCCCACATTATTTCTTTCTGACCACATGTTGCAGACATATTCAAATAATTTTCATATGTAGGTATATGTGCAAATTCAACGTTTATCCTCTAATAATACCACTTCCAGTAGAATTCTGAAATGCCCTCTTCAGCAGATAGAAAAGGGGGTTGGTTACCATTGGGATTCTGGGAACTGCATACAACCCATAGCCTGGTGATCCAGTTCCATTAATCTGGGAGAGAACTGCGGAGTGGACAATGCATGCGGACACCCTTTGAAGGGAGTAGCATGAAAGAAATCTGGAGAACCACCATAACAACCACTGCAGAACCTTGCTGATACGACTCTTTACCCAGCTACAGCCCTCCAGGAAAATACTCTAAAGCCAATGTCCCTCTCACTGTAACTTGGTTTGTATATTACGTAGAAATAACATTACTTTGAGCATCGATTTATTGTTTCCCTGTGCATGTTGCTTTTTAAATCTACCAAATGTGTAAATACTTTTGTTGAATGTACCCATAATTGTAATTGCTTTTTGACATAGGGATGGAAAGGGGACATTGGCCCTCCAGGATTTCGTGGCCCAGTAAGTATCATTGAAGACAATGTCATATTTGATCAAGGAAATTTTGAATCTGGGTCTCTTATTAATGTTATGATAGAAATCATAGTATTTACTTTTTTTTTTATCAAACCCAGGCAAAACAATAGCTATTGTTATTATTTGACAATGGACAAATACTTCTACTTTCTTTGGTCTTTGATATGAACTAGTAGTACCCATCTTGGGCTGTGGAGAAGGATCAGATCTGGACCAGGGGGATCCTGCATCCTGAATAGAGTAGGAGGACAGCTGGCCACCCAGGGGTGAGGGAGCCAGCTCCACCCACTCCAGCTAGTCATGACAAGTGCACATTCAGGCTGCAGGAAAAACTCAGCCAGGTTTCATGCAAGGCCAGCAAACACCAATCACCCAGCCCAAGCTCCATCTCAGCAGGCCACCTCTTTCTTGCAGGAAGGACATGGGTGTGATGGCAGTCAGCTTCTGGCTACGGGGTGGCCCCATTCTATATTCTGTAATCCTGCAGCCTAAGGAAAGGAATAAAAGGGAGCCAGGCTCTGAGTCCTGACATTCATTCCTCTCCTTTCTCCAAAAACGGGGGTCCTCACATGCAATGTGCTGAGCAGGGCCGCCATTTCTTCACTGAGAGGACAGTGTGTGGTACAAGAGTCACGGGGAGAGGAGCTGTCCTATTGCAAATGCAGTTCTCAGACTCCCTCAGACCTAGTAATTTAACTCAGTAACTGGAGGAGGGTCCTGGAAACCTGCATCTTTATTCCTCAAGCATATGATTCAAACATGAGAAGTCCCAAAACACTTTTATGGAGTTTCTGGGAAGATGAAACGGGCTATTTTGTGAACGCTCTTATCCAACGCTCGGCAGGCACAAAGAAGTCATTGTGGATTTTACAAAAGAGATTATTACATTATTATTATTATTGCTATTATTATGCATTCTTTTTTGTTATTTTCTAGTTATTGTTTAATCACAAAGTTCTTGTTACCTCATCTTTAAACAAGTTAATAAAGAATTTCTCCATGTAAAATATGAAAAAAACAGAGGTTTTGAAAAACCTTTTACATTTTCATCTTCTCTTCAAGATAGATGGACTGAATGCTAAATGAAATCTACTTTTACAATTGTACTTTAGAGGAAGTCTAAGCAATTTAGCTTGGTCTGTATTTTCTCATGCTCAACTGTATATAACTGCAGCATCTACTATCATCAGAGGAAACTGCTTAGGAAGTAGTTGGTTAAAGAGACCAGAAGTAGGTCCATAGAGTATGTCAGAAACAGTAGTACTTATTGTAGGTCAGTGGTGTCCTGAAAGTTAAAGAAACAGTCAATACAGTACTGTTTGATGTGTAGGTCTGAGAAAAAAATACATTCAGTGCATTAGGACAAGCATTTTCAAAAAGTGAAATAGAACAATAAAAATATCAAAGTTGATCAAATTCATTGGAGAACATCATGCTGAGTGAAATAAGCCAATCAATGAAAGAGAAACACCACATGACCCCACTCATTTGTGGATAATAAAGATCACTATAACTGATGAACCAAAAGATAGATATAGAGACAGTAAAGCAACAAGCAGACTGTCAAATTACAGCGGGGAGGGGAGGAGGGTCTGGGGGAGATAATAAGTCAACCCAAGGACTTGTATACATGCATATAAGTACAACCAATGGACATAAAACTCTGTGAGGAGGGAGGGGATATATGAGGGAGGGGGGGCAAAAAAAATCAATAAAATATGTAAAAATAAATAAAATTAAATTAAATTAAATTAAAAAATTAAAAAAAGATTTAAAAAAATAATAAAAAAATAAAAATGTGTGTATATGCAAAAAAAAAAAGTTGATCAAATTCATAAAGTAAATCACTATTTTGTGAAACTTTAATATCTGTGTACATAGTTACACATACATAGATATATCTGCCTGTATGGATGTATGTATAAATATAAATGAAATATATAGTGCCATATCAGAAATATCAACTTTTATCTTTAAACTAGAGGCCTGCAGAAACCGGTTTGGCTCAGTGGATAGAGAGTCAGCCTGCAGACTGAAGGGTCCCGGGTTTGATTCCAGTCAAGGACACGTACCTTGGTTGTGGGCACATCCCCAGTAGGGGGTGTGCAAGAGGCAGCTGATTGATGATTCTCCCTCATCGATGTTTCTCTTTATCCTCTCTCTTCTTTTCTGTAAAAAAATCTATAAAAAAAATATATTTTAAGAAATAAATAAATAACTAGAGGCCCATTACATGAAGAGATTCATGCAATAGGCCTTCCTTCCCCTGGCTGCCAGCACCGGTTTTCCTCCGGTACCTGGGACCAAGGCCTTCGCTCTGCGCAGCCTTCAATCTTCATTCTTGGTGGAGCTCTGATCCTGTAGCTCCCTCCATCCCCCGACCTTCCCCTCATAGCAGGCTTCCCATCCTGCCTGGCCACTCTGTGCCTGCATTCATGCTGCCCAGAGGCCTGGAGGGGCTGGGGAGCTGAGCTACCATCATAATTTGCATACTCACTCCTGATTGGCTGGCAGGGATAGCAAAGTAACAGTCATTTTGCATGTTTCTCTTTTATTAGTGTAGATTTATCCATGCCATATACATGACTACCCTATTTCTGCTAGCACATAAGCCTATGAATTGAGAAAAATGAGGGAAGTATCATTTTGGCTAAAAAGAAGAAACTGAAGTCATTGCCTTTGGTGAATGTCCATAAATAGTTATTCTTTCATTTTCTTCATTTCTTTTTCCTTTAAGACAGAATATTATGATGCATACGCGGTAAAGGGAGATGAGGGAACTCCAGGCCCTCCAGGCCCCAAAGGAGCTCGTGGCCCACAGGGTGAGAATAAATTTCTTCCTGAAGCATTTGCTGGCCATTATCATCTTTCAAGGTAACACAACATGTGCTTATAGACCTAGAATTTGCAGGTGGAGAAGGGAAGTCTCATTTTCATGGATGGTGGTATTTTTTTGGTGTCTCCTAATTTCCATACAAAACTTGAAAATTTTATGTGAAACTTTTGAATGAAAATGCCAAAAAATCATTAAATTAACTGCATGCGGGAAATCACGAAGTTCAAGTCTGGCTAGCAGACACTAACATGGTCCGAGGGCAGGACCAGGGAGTGTAAGAAATCTGTAATTTCAGCGCGATTACAGATATAAAAATGGATACCTGAATGGCTGGAATTTTAGCAAATCCACACCAACGATGGCAAGGGGTGACTGAAGCCCTGGTTTCCTGACGCCTGACACCATGAATTAAAGACACCTTAATTATCTTCTACCCCCTTGATGGATTGGGAAGGTCTCGGCCACAAGCTCTCTCATCTCTGGCTGTGCCTTAGAACCCCTGAGGCTTCTTCACTGATGCCCACATCAGGGTCCCCCTGTGATTCTGATTTGTCAGAAGGAAGGCTCTGGACATGAGCAGATTGTGAAAGCGCCGCAGATTATTCTAACGTGCAGCAGGATTGAGAATACTAATCTAGGCAAATTATTGGTTTAAATAAGATTTCAAAGGAGATGATGTGTGCTTAAAGGAAAAATTCCCAGTGTATTAAAATAAATGGACAGATACATTTAGATACAGATTTTTTTAAGGCAATGTTAGAGCTAGAAGCAACCTGAGATGGGACACCAGCCAAAAACTACAGATCCTTAACAATTCCAGCTGTTTGCTTTTCTGTCTCTGACCCATCCCAGCGAAGTACACACAGAGCAGGCTCTTAGTGAGTTTCTGCTGAATTATTTGAAAATGATATCTGAGATTAGTTTCTTCTCTGCAGTTTGTCTAAATAAGTAAAGTTTTCTAATATTTATCTATATGAGAATGGAGAAAATATGGAAATTATTTATTATTAATTATTATTATATTAAAACCCAAGATTGCAAAAATGGGGTGACAAGGTATTTATTTCTTCGTAAGCAATTCATTGCTATTCTGTATTCATAGGTCCCATTGGCCCCCCCGGAGATCCCGGAAGGCCTGGTAGGTACATATTCCTCAGGGTATCAACAGAAATGCTATTAAAAAGTAAAATGCACTGCTCTAGTAACTTTGCATTATTTTAGAAGGCAAATCTTTCATTAATTGGTATAAAAGTGTTTGCAAATTCTTACTTGTAAAAAGGATGTGGAAAATTACACAGAATGTTGAAGAAATGCTCTTTTTCACTTCTCAGCGTTTTAACTAAGTGTAAGACAGCAAGCTGGCAATATGAGAAGAAGCCTTGAAACTCGGAGGAGGCACAGAGAGAGAAAAACTAGTTTGATGGGGATTAGTTTGGTTAAAAATCAGTTTTCAAGTTGCATAGGAATTCACAGGTTATACTTTTTTATGTGACATTTTAAATTTTACAATTTATTGTTTATAGAAACATAAACAATTCCGTAAAGTGTAGAAACATCCATCAGTCATTAGTGTGGTTGCCTCTTGAGAAAGGAAGGAGAAATAGAATCAAAGACGGTTCCACAGAGGCCATAATTATAACTGTAATGATGTAATGTGTCATTTTGAAAAGGAAAAGAAACTAAGAAAAAAATAGCAAACGTTTGTAGCCTTGCCATCCATTCTATTTTTCTTTATACCATCTACATTTAAACTATTTCCTAATTTGGAAAATGAATTGTAATTAAGCAGATTGCAGAAGTATTTATATATTATCATCCCAATGGAAAAATAGGTGAATGGATAAATAGTACGTGTACTTGCATGTGTATAAAAACATACACATCAAACTATAAACTGTGGGTGTCTCTTGAAGTTACAGTGGGACAAAAGGATATTTCAGAGGTCTGGCCCACGGTTACAGCAGACTTCTTTCTACATGCCTCGACCCTAAGTAATGAATAGATAGGTTCCTTCAGGCAGCCAGTGAGTGAAAATTATAAAGCTCTAAAACAGTGTCAGTCAGAGGCATTTACCTTTATGCCCAGATCCTTCTGCTCAATAATCAGAAACAATCAGATTTTTCTCAGCCCCTTGGTGATAAGGTCTCTCTGCTTAACAATTAAACTGTTTTTGAGCTAGAGATTAAAGACTTCCCCCCTCCTCACATCCTCATCATCTTAGGAGAGATAGATGAAATGCATTTTTTTAAACATTTTATTTTATGATATTTAAATATATTTTATTGATTTTTTTTTTTTTTTTTACAGAGACGAAGGGAGAGGGATAGAAAGTTAGAAACATCAATGAGAGAGAAACATTGATCAGCTTTCTCCTGCACACTCCCTACTGGTTATGTGCCCGCGATCAAGGCACATGCCCTTGACCAGAATTGAACCTGGGACCCTTGAGTCCACAGGCACTATCCACTGAGCCAAACTGGTGAGAGCTGAATTGCATTTTGTACCACCAGGCCTGGCGTCTCTCCCAGAAGGTGCCTCCTCCCCCAGCACACCCTTCCATATCTAAGACAATTGGCAAGAATGAAGTCCAATTATAACTTTCTTTCTTCTTGGAGACACTACAAAGTAGGCATCTCATAGTCTCTAATTTAAAAGTCCACAAAATAGCATAGATTGAAGAATTTTTAAATAAAAGGACTACTGTGCATCCCAAACTCTGTCTCAGTCTCTTGTCATAAATGACATGAATTAGCTTGTGGGCCTGAAGAATTTTGAGCTCTGTAGTCCTTTAACAAGGTCACATGAAGAAAGGAAAATACTCTTAATTTTATATGCTCAATATACCTTTCAGTGGTGTAACTGTTATAAATCAGAATACATCACATTTTTCAATTGAAAATAATCACATATTAATCAGGGAAAAATTAAAATGTAATAAAATTATTCTTTTCCTCCAAGGGTCATCAAAGCCTGGCCTCAGAGGACCCCCTGGACCACCAGGCATGAAAGGAAGTAAAGGGGAGCGAGGACCCCCAGGAAAGAATGCAGTGGGGTCTCCCGGGGCCTCGGGTTGTCCTGGTTCACCAGGCCCTCCAGGGCTGCCGGGACCTCCGGGACCACCAGGTAAAGATGCCTAATGGGTCCATTTTGTGTGCATTGCCCAGTGACAGGTGTGTGCGAATCAGAGGCAGAGAGCCTCACTTAGAACTTGGCCATCAGCCTGTGTGGATCTTAGCAGTTATCTCTCCACTGGTTTCATTTTTATCAGCTCTCTGTGGAAACAGCTATGGTGGCATGACTACTCTGCAAGAACAGCAAAGCTTTACCCGGAGTTCCCACAGGCGGCAGAGTGAGAGACAGGGACACGGGTTACGAGTTACAGGGCAGGGAAGGAATGAGGATTATCAAGTTGGCCCAGGCCAAGGGCAACTGCTTGTTCAGTCCCTGGAGACTGTCTTCCAAGAAGCTGTGTAACTTTGTCTCACAATAGCCTGTGAGACAGAGGCAAGGGGAGAAAGGGGAGAAAGAGGCAAGAATTTATCCACCAGCTTCTACTTCTCCTCAGCCAAAGACGTGCTCCCACAGCACCGGCCTGCCCACCCGGGACACCTCCAAGCTGTGTTTGCCTGGCTCTCAGGGCATCCCATGCCTTGGCGTCAGCAGGGAAGCCCCAGAGCAAGAGGCTGTAGGTGTGCAGTGTGGGCTCAAGACTAGATGCTGCCAGGTGGAGTGGGTCAGAGACCACAGAGCTGGGGTCCTCAGGATTTGAAGTGGTCCCTGGAGGTTCAGGTTCAGGTGTCCTTTCCTCTCCATCTCTCTGAATAGTCACTCGGCATCTGTATTGGCTGATAGGTACATAGAACCTATGAAAATATAGGTCACTCTTTTATTTTACATACCCTTCTTGACAGGTGCCTGGCAGGTCTTATGATTTATCCTCAACTCTCGTAATAGCCTTAAGAATTTTCTGTGTAGGGAACTATTTGAAAGGAAAGAGACAGTTTTTATAGACAATGTGATTATAAATGTAGAAAATCCAAAAGAATAATCTAGAAGACTTTTAGCATTACTAAGGCAGTTCAGGTAAGAGGCTGGTTATGTGAGCAATATCTAAAAAAATAAATAAATAAACTAAAAGCATTTCTTTAGGCCAATGACAATTTAAGAAATTATCCCATTAATAAAGGATATAATGCCCAACAATAAATCTATCAAGTTACGAAATAGACCTAAATGGAAAACAAAACTAAACTAAACTAAAACTTTACTATGGATTTTAACAATTCCTAGTCTTCTGAATCTTTCTCAAGATGTGGGCCGTGTCCTCATTTTATTGATGACAAGCCTGGTGTGCACAGTTCTTGTGCCCAATGGATGCTAAAGTCAGTATCTGGCCCCCGTACCACTCCCTCTCCCCTTGGAGACTGCCCTGGCTTGCTGTCTTCTCTTGCTAAGTGACATCTGTCTGTGCGCCCAGTTGCAGCTTCAAGTTCAAGTCCTGCAGGCAGTTTTCATTGAGCCAGCACCCTAAGCACTCATGCTTAGAGCCCGGTTGTAGAATGTTTCCCATTGCCCTGTCTTGGTCAGTTTCCTCGACAAGAATCAAAGCTCCTTGAGGTCCAGGACTGTGTCTTCTCAGCTGTTTTAAGCCCCATCATTTGCTTACAGGGGGATGGAACATGGTAGACATTCAACTACTTGTTGAATTAAGTATGAAATGAGTATGACCATGTGTTAAGTACATAAAATAGAATGTATAAGTATAAATGTATAAATGTATAAGTATACATATAAGTCTACATTAAGTATAACACTGCCACCTGATTTTACTGTTTTAAGATAACTATCCAGTCATCTTGAAGACACAGAAAACTGGATCACAAAAGGGCATCCTTTTCACAGTCAAGCAGACCTAATTATAACGCATATCAAGTTCCACCCAAATGAAGTGTTTCCAGTGTTATCTTGTTGCAGTGAAATTTTGGGCAGTTTTAGGTACTGTTTTTAAAGATTTAGTTTCATCGGCATTGCCTTCAATCTATATTTGAAATGGCAAGACCAAAAATTAGGTTAGAGAACACAATAGTTTAAGAGAAGACGCTATTCATGGTAACACTATAATAGCAGATAATATGAGGAAGAATGGGAAGAGCTTTCTTGGAGAGCTGCTCTAAGAATGAGACACTCAGTTGGTGTGAACAAGCGGTGAGGAGGAAACGGGTGACATCCTGAGTCAAAATTTTTTCCCCTCGGGATGTATTAAGCATCTACAATATATCAAGGAGATATATATCGTGTATTCAAGAAGCACAGAAGCACGAGATTTGATCCTTTGCCTAAAAATGTTAAAGGAATAGTTTTGGAGTAATTGAAAATAGTATATAATAAGGTAATGGGTTGCTTGTGTAATGAGAAGCACCATATAAACATCACATGTAGATGATGTGAAAGGAAAGGTGGTCAACACACTTCAGCCTTTCAGTTGCAGCTAACCTTCGAACGACTCAGCTTCCAAAACAAATGGGGAAATGCATATACAATAATACATATTACTAAAATGCTTGCTAGTTGAAAAAGAGAACACTTAAAGAACTGTCTTAAAAATCGGAGTCTTTTTGTAGGTGACATCGTATATCGCAAAGGTCCCCCTGGACAAGGTGGACATCCAGGCCATGTGGGGCCTCCAGGAATCCCAGGTGTCGATGGGCGCAAAGGTTGGTTCAATCAATGGACGTTGTTCTAGTACCATTCTCATCACCATCATTATCACTGTTTTTTTTCTCCCTGAGGAAACAATGCTCCCAAACAGCAGGCAGTCAGAGATGGCATCTTTTCCAAAGGAATTAACTAAAAGTATTCTTTTATCTGTAAAGCAGCCACTTATTTAGAAACCACGCAATAAGTCGTTGGCTGTTCCTAGAATGTGAGTTTTATCCTGCACTGGAAGATAACGGACATCATAGCTATTTTACACGAAACGGGAGTTTCTGTCAAAGAGCACCTACATGCTCAGGAGGATAAAGTGAAAGAATGAGACAGAGGGCCGAAGACCAGACTATTAAAAGAGAAGGACCCTGCCAGGCTATCTTGAAAGGGGAGAATAGTAACATGTGCAGAGGTGAACATGCCTTTTGAGGGGAGGAATGCGAAGGGATGGGGCTTAGGATACTCGTCAAGAGCTGATTGGTGGTTTCATATAAGGCACATGATTAGGCATTTAGGTACTTAGGAATCAAGGGCTTAGGGTATTTGGCAGGTGCCAATATGTGGTTCAATGTATAATCCATATAAGGTGCCTGGTCAGATGCTCAGGAATGTCCAGGCCACAGGTGCAGGTTACATCATTCTCCATCCACCAGCAGGGGGAAGGGAGGATCTATCATAAAATAAGCAGATATAATAGATGAAAAGTTTTTTATTAATATGTGAAATGTCCTACATGCTTTGCACTACATGGAAGAATGTCCAGAGTAAGAAAGAATTGTGCAGTTGGAAACTCCCTGTCCTCTCTGCGGACACAGTGTGGGTGTATGAGTAACTGAGCACCCTCTCTTTGCAGGGGAGCCAGGCCTCGTGTGCACAGACTGTCCTTGTGTCCCAGGGCCTCCGGGTCTCCCAGGACTGCCGGGATTTGATGGCTTAAAAGGAACTCCAGGTACACACGATTTGCAGACTAGTGTTATTGCAAGTAAAAGGGTCAACTCACTGGATGATGTTTTCCTTGGCTTCCCTACAGCTCAAAGAATATCCTGTATATAAGCAGTAAAACCATTAGGAGTACTGTAAAGAAATATATATCATGGCAAAGAACTTGCAAAAAATAAATCTGAACAAATAGTTGTTAATAAACTGGCCTGAAATTCATTCAGAAGATCTTCTAAAGAAATCATCTTTACAGAGATGCTTAAATACCTAGAGAAAGTTAAAATTGTACAGCAAAATGCAATTTGACAACAGATATCCAAAGTCATAGAAAAGTTTGTACCCATTGGTCCTGCAGTTGAACTTTTAGGAATTTATTGGAAAGAATATAATTGGATAAATTTGGATAATTAAATATCCAAATGTATTTATAGGAGCATTGTTTACAATAGCTAAATTTGAAAAAGCATTCTAAATGTCTCAAAACAGCACTTAGCTGAATAAATTATGGCTCACCTACACAATAAGCTATTGTGCACCCATTTAAAGTGAAGATATATATATATATATATATATATATATTATATATATATATATATGTCAATGTGTAGGTATTAATGGATATAAAATTTTAGACTAATATACATGAAAATTTTAGCAAATACTGTCTTCTGATAGTAGATTTATGGGTGATTTTCATTATAGTCCTTCTTTTCTTTTTTTTTCTTTTTTTTACATTAAACAGGTATTTTTATCATCATAAAAATGTATCTTTAAAATTAAAAAGACAAAAATCTTAGGAAGTTAAAATTTTTGAGCTTTTTATTTTTTATTTTTTTTATTTCATGTTATCCTAGTGATGTACTCCCATTCTTTTCTTGCACTGTTTTTAAAATAGAAATTGTCTTTCTTTGCTCAGAGGACAACACCTTATTTTTTTTTTTCACACACTGACTTACCCTTAGAATTGATGTTCAATGAATATTTATCAATTCATTGTTTTGCAGGAGGACGAGGGGCAGCTGGCATTAAAGGAAGCCCAGGGTCCCCAGGAAGTGTGGGTCTCCCAGGAAACCCAGTAAGATTTCATGGTTATTAAGCTTTAATTTCAATTTTGAGAATGCAATACTCTGGCTGGAAATATGGTTGCACCACACAGGCCATTGGTTTAGTGCCTGGCAAAGGGCAGGCAGTTAACAATTATGTGTTGAATGAATGAATGAATGAATGAACAAACGAACAAACAATCTGTGAATGAAATAATGAATTTATAATCATTTAAAATGATATCAGCCGAAACTGGTTTGGCTCAATGGATAGAGCATCAGCTTGGGGACTGAAGGGTCCCGGGTTCGATTCTAGTCAAGGGCATGTACCTTGGTTGCGGGCATATCCCCAGTAGGGGATGTGCAAGAGGCAGCTGATCGATGACTCTCTCATCGATGTTTCTAACTCTCTATCTCTCTCCCTTCCTATCTGTACAAAATCAATAAAATATATTAAAAAAATAAAAATAAATAAAATAAAATGATATTAGAGGCAGCCGAAACCGGTTTGGCTCAGCGGTAGAGCGTCGGTCTGTGGACTGAAAGGTCCCAGGTTCAATTCCTGTCAAGGGCATATACATTGGTTGTGGACACATCCCCAGTAGGGGGTGTGCAAGAGGCAGCTGGTCTATGTTTCTCTCTCATCGATGTTTCTAGCTCTCTATCTCTCTGCCTTCCTCTCTGTAAGAAAATCAATAAAATATATATATATTTTAAAAATGATATCAGAGGCAGAAAGCAGATCCGTGGTTGACCAGGACTGAGGTTGGGAACAGGAATTGATTGCAAATGGGTATAAGGGAATTTGAGGGAGTGATAAAAATGTTTTGAAATTGGACTGTGGTGTTTGTAGTATAGACATATACATTTATTTTAAAAATCATTGAATTGTGTTCTTACCAAGGATATATTTTATGTGTAAATGATACCTCAATCAAGTTGTTAAAAATTTTAATTTTGATTATAATAGTGAATCAGAAAGTTACATGTGGATAAATATGTTAAATTATCCAGAGATGCATGTTAAAATTTACCAATATTCTAACAGAATCTGAATTGTGATGGTTATTGCATCATGTTGAGTTATATTATTGTGTGTATTGCATTGAATTGTATTGTCTAGCTACCAATTAAAAAAAAAGCTTAAAATTATATTTGTGGCCAAAGATGTGTCTAAAAAATACATGTTTCATTAAAATTGACATTTTCTATTAAGATTGACACAAAAACAACTTTACCCAAAAGGAAATGCAGACTCATGTCTCTCCCACCCTAGGGATTCCCGGGTGCTCAGGGTGATCCAGGACTGAAAGGAGAGAAAGGCGAAGCAGCTGGGCCAGAGGGAGAAGTGGGTAGTCCAGGGGACCCGGGACCCAGGGGGCAGCCTGGAAGAGGTGGCTTGGATGGAATTCCTGGAACCCCTGGAGTGAAAGGATTACCGGGACCTAAAGGTGAACCGGTTGGTATCAACTTTTTTTTTTATGACAATGTGTTTATTTTTAATTTCTTTATTGATTAAGGTGTTACATATGGTATCAACTTCTTTAATTTTTAATGTTACAACCTAGAAAATATTTTAAAAGACATTCTATAAGAAAAAATTAATACAGGTGGAGTATCACCTTTGTGGAAATACCTGATGGAAACCAAATAGAGATTTTAAGCTGCACTGATTTGATTTTCGAAAAGTGCCATTTGCCGAAACCAGTTTGGCTCAGTGGATGGAGCGTCGGCCTGCGGACTGAAGGGTCCCGGGTTTGATTCTGGTCAAGGCCATGTGCCTTGGTTGCAGGCACATCCCCAATGAGGGGTGTGCGGGAGGCAGCTGATCGATGTTTCTCTCATCAATGTTTCTGGCTTTCTATCCCTCTCCCTTCCTCTCCGTAAAAAAATCAATAAAATATTTTTTTTTAAAGAAAGAAAGAAAAGTGCCATTAACATGCATATCATTTCCATTTGAACTGTTGACCAATGTGAGGTAGGTCTGAGGGGCTATTCTCACATGGGTGGCACCCCATTGTGGGACATCTCAAGTGGGACTCAGAGTTCCCAGTTGATGGAATGTGACTGAGTTCCAAAGGGCACAAAACCACAGAAACCATAGTTGTGATAATTTCCTTCAAAGGCCAACTTCTCTTTAATTCAATACTTTCTCCCCAAGTAGCATTCATATTCATCTATGTAAGGAAATACTGGAATGAAGCACTATCCAAACATATTCCTATTGTCACAGGCTCTCAGTGGTGAGAAGGGGGACCCGGGTCCTCCAGGGGATCCTGGAATCCCTGGGTCCCCGGGACCCGCAGGACCAGCTGGGCCACCAGGCTATGGACCGCAGGGAGAGCCTGGCCCAAAGGGCGCCCAAGGAGTTCCCGGAGCCCCTGGACCACCTGGAGACGCCGGTTGGTTAGTTTTCTTTCCAGTCCTGTTTTCCTGTGAGTGGGTTGATGGTCCCTAGAGCTAGTGAAGCTTCCTCAAGATCAGTGGATGTATAGAAACTTATTTATCAATTAAATTAAAAAGTTCCTATGGGCTAGTCACCGTTAAGCCAATTTTGCAGAGACTATTCTTCATATTCCTTGGAAAATGTCTCTAAACCCTTTATTATACATCATATAGTTTTCCTCTGAACCAAGAAGAAGCTTCAATATGCACACTAATTTTATGATCATAAATCTTCTTAAGGTCCTAGGGGAGAGTTCAGTGTTTCAACACCGGTCCCCGGGCTCCCAGGACCCCCAGGGCCTCCAGGCCACGCTGGCCCCCGAGGCCCACCTGGTAAGTAACCTCTTTGCCAAGCCTGATGCCTGGCATCAGATAGCACCCAGACTTCCCTGGGAAAACGCTGTTCCAGGTTTAAGGAAAAATTATATGCATTGGCTCCCAGAGAGAGCATAGGCCAGTTTGTCAGACGACAAGGCAACAGGCAGGGGAGTTGCTCTTGTCCTTTGAAGTCACCCAGATTATTCCCATTGGTGCTTCTGACTCCAAAGGGGAGTTGAAATAGTAACTTAAGAGGAATTTGCAAGCAGGACAGTCTTAGTGGATTTTGGTGGAGGAGCAAGGAATGGTTGCCCGTGATTACTATAGTTCCCACAGCTTCTTCATTGGAAAACTTAACTTCTTTGCCGATATGATCTTCTAACACTTCATTCTGCATGCATGGAGGGAGACTTATATAATTGAAGATATTTAGAGAAATTCTTTTAGGAAATAAATTATATTTTCAAAATTATTTGCAGTTTCTAATGATCAGTCCACTGGATAGGAATGGGGAGGAAGTCAGGGTTGTGGTAAATTCTTTTTTTTAATTTTCAAAAATGTCTGGGAGGACACGGAAACTTAGACATTTGGTTACAAGGCAAGATAAAGGAAATTGCTGATGTGGACATACATGTGTTGTTAAGGCTTCCCGGGAGAACCAGGAAAATGTGAGCCAGGTACTCCTGGGCCTGACGGGGATCCAGGAATTCCAGGAATTGGACTCCCTGGGCCTCCTGGACCTAAAGGTACGTTAAAAAATTTTAAAACATAAGGTTCATTGTGGATATTTAGAAACTATAAATGTATATAGTGAATAACATAGGAAATATCCATACTATTCTTTAAAATGATGTCTTTCATCAGTCCTAAATGGGGAAAATATTTCCAAATGACAAGAAGTAAAAAAGCAGAGGTCACATTGATTTATGCAGTCTCATCTCAATCATATTTTTTAAATGCATAAAAATTCACCAAACTAATTCTTCTTGATAGTGGGGTTGTGAGGAATTCTTTCTTTACTTCTGAGTAGATGCCTATACTTTTTTCATTTATGCATTTCTTCACTTTATACATTTCTTTCATAATAAAAAAGAACTGTTAAATCACACACAGCTGATTTCCCCATTCAGTCCAAAATAAACACAGAAGTTATTTTTCTTTAGGAAAAAAAGATGCTGTCTCTCATCAAAGGAAAAACTCTCCAAAGAAAAACAGATGTTCTCCCACTGACATGTACACACATACACACACACACACACACACGTCTTATCCAGGGTGACATATGAGTAATCTGGGTCACTGGGCTGTTGCATACAATTTCAGATTTTATAGTAATTTCATGTGTGTTTCAGTATTATTTAAAGTGTTTTTGAAATAATAATCCTTTTTGGTGCTATATCTCTTAAATGAATAAATCAACAGTGTTTAACATGCATCAGTTCTGCCCAAACATGGGAATATTGATCTCAATTTATGAGTATACACTTGAAATGAAAAACCTAATCAGATTTTTCATGCGGTTCAGTCTTTGACTGAAATTCCTTGCCAGTGAAGCAACCCAGCCTGGCCCATGTTTTTGCCTCATTCTTTTTGGACCCTGCGTGAAGAAAATTGCATCCTGGCTGCATCCCCTCCAGAGTCACCTTCCTGAAAGGAGACTCCAAACTGGGCACCAGCACTAGTCTGAGAGCTCCTGGAAACTGGAGGGTCAAAATTTCCCATTTAAAACTAATGAAGCCCATAAAGTAATGGTTCATTAAAAACTGGTCAAATTAGGGGCACAAAGGAACTCTCTAAAGGCAGCTCTGCTCCACCCAGTGTTTCCTCTTCTGAACCACAGAAGAGAACAAATGATGTGTGTGACCTCTTTGTCAATTCTCTCATCATAAATGCAAAAGAGGCAAGTTAACTCATAAAGTGGCTGCTTTAGGTCATTAGAAAGTGATTGTCTTGAGCAACCCATGGTGAGAAAGAATAGCTAGGTACTGGAAATGCTTTATATCATGATATGGCTTATATATACTAGTGTGTGTGTGTGTGTGTGTGTCTGTAAATATGTATCTGGCTATATATTGAATGTAAAATATGCTTTTTAAAGAAAAGGTCAGCCCAATGGTAAACCGAGATCAGAGATTTTTAAAAATACTGACTCAAAATTATAGTGGTGCTAAACAACAAAAATAGAGAAGGTAATTTTAAAAATTGGGAACCAATGCAATCTGCTTTGGAATTGAGTATTTAATAATTGCTAATTTAGCCATTGGCTTTTTCATCACTCAAACTTCCATAAAACATTTATAGCTACTTGCCTCATGAAATAAGGTAAAATAAAAGAGATATTGCCAAAATCTTTTAATAAGACTAATCATACAACCTTTATTTTTTTTTCCCTGTAGGAGACCGAGGTTTTCCGGGAACTAAAGGAGCACCAGGTTGTCCCGGAGAAATGGGGAAGCCAGGGTTACCTGGAAATCCAGGCCTCCCAGGAGCCAAGGTCTTTGAGACTTAAAATTCAGACTGGAATGGGGAAGAGGGGGAGCAATTACAGTTTGCCAGTTAGGATGTTCCTGCCAGTCAGGATGCTCTGTGTAGAAATTACCGATTTACTTGTAAATGATAAAGCAGATGATTTTTTAAAGTTTTTTTTTTTAACTATTCCTCCCTTTTAGAAAGAAAAACAGAAAGTGTTAAGGAGACAAGTTTGCTTTTCTATTTCTCCATTAACCTTCAGAAACATTCATATTTAAAATGGTTGAATTCTAGAATGAAACATGGATAGCTATGAGAAAAACTCAAGTGTAAAGACATCTAGATTGTTTACAGAGAATCCCACAGTATTATGAAAAAGTAGGTGATCTAAAGAATTATTATGCATACATTTATAGAAAAGTCAGCAACTAGAGTTGAAAAAGGAGAGTTGATAGAATGGTGGCGACTGTGAAAAAAAGGTACTTAGGAACTCCATGATGAATATGTTATCTTCAAGTAAATAACCCTAAAGACAAGCCAATCTCTCTGTATAAAAAGCTAAGTGTCTGACCATACATACATCCAACCGGCCAGTACATATAACACACACTGGCAATTTAAAAATAAATGTTGATTCGCACATGCGCAATGCACATAAAGTTCTTGCTGGCACCAATCGCACGTGTGTTTTAATTTTATAATACTATATTATATATACTATTTTGACATGTAATTTTTTGCTATAACGCAATTATCGCATGAATCTTTCTTCTAGTCAATTTCCTTTCAATGTGCACAAATCCATGCACCAGGCCACTAGTTGTCAATAAGTATCTAGAAGCATTATATGTAAAACTAACACCATTTCTGTGCCATAGGGAGAACCAGGACTAGCCATGCCTGGAGAACCAGGAATACCAGGTTTTCCAGGAGAAAGAGGCAATCCTGGGGAAAATGGAGAAATTGGACTCCCTGGATTTCCAGGTCTCCCTGGAATTCCAGGAACTGGAGGGCTTGATGGACCACGAGGTACAATAGCAAGTTCAATTACTTTTCTCCTCTGTGAGCTTTGCTAAAATGCAGCAAATTGAATCTGCAGGTGCTCTAGGGGTGAAGAATTTTCAAAGTTCTAGATGAATAAATAGAATCTGTAGGGCCTAATTATTACTCTACTCAACATGGTTACTCTACCTTTGTTCCTTCTTCCCTTCTCTCTTCTTTCTTTCCTTCTTAATGAGTGTTTTCTATATAAGACATATTAATGATAATAAATATTGGCCCAATTTAGGGGGAATGGGGAGTTGCAGGAGAATGTTTGGGATAGCAATACTAGGACCTTGGGTTTGGGCCCTGGAATATATTCTTGGACTCTCTTTTACAGGGGATCCAGGGCAGCCTGGACCACCTGGAGAAAAAGGACTCCCAGGGAGATGCACAGAGGGTCCCAGGGGACCTCCGGGACTTCCAGGCTTAAATGGATTGAAAGGGCAACAAGGTAAGAGGAGGGCCTCAAAACCGCTCACCAGACGGGCAAGTGGCCTGGGACTCCAGCTAGCTGTTTTGCTATTTAACTCTGGAACTGTCCAGCAGCAAGTCCTGACCACTGCTCATGGGAATTGGTATGAAATATAAACCTTGTCGTCATGGATTTGTTGCAGTGAGAACTCGCGCATGGTGAGTGGCACTGAATGTGTTCTGTAAGTTCAAGACGAAGGCAAAGTCATTCAGTGCAGTCCCAGGATGTGCCTGCAAAATTAGAAAATAGATCTAAATTCTACATTTTTATTACTGCAAGAGTCGTTGAAGCAGAGAATGCTAAAGCCAGAAGGGATCTTAAAAATGTTACAGGAGGGGACATTAACTAACCAGTCCATCCATCCATCTGGTGAATATGTGTTTTATTTAGCTCCAAATCACAAAGCTAAATATTTACAGCCATAAGATATTTCTGGAGTCAGTGGGGAAAGCGCTTGTGTGTTCATTCCTTTATTTCATTCATTCATTCATTCATTCATTCATTCACATATAGGTAGAAAAGGTGAAGCAGGACCAAAGGGAGACCCAGGAATTCCAGGTTTGGATAGATCAGGACTTCCTGGAGAACCTGGACCACCAGGAATGCCAGGTCATCAGGGCGAGATGGGACCACCTGGTCAGAAAGGATATCCAGGAAACCCAGGATTTTTAGGGCCACCAGGTATTTTCTTCTGCTTTCATTTATTTTTATTTTTCAATTACAGTTGACATATAATATCATATTAGTTTCAGGTATTCCACTGAAACAAATGATTATTTTTGCTGTGTAATCCTTTTAATATGTTACTACTAAAATAGATTTGCTAGTATTTTGTTGATAATTTTTGCATCTATATTTACAAGGGAAATGGGAGTATCTTTTTTCTTTTCTTGTGATGTTTCTTCCTAGTTTTGGTATCAGGGTAATGCTGGTCTTACAGAACAAGATGGGAAGTGTTCCCTCCTCTTACATTTTCTAGAAGAGTTTGTGAAAAATGGATATTTTTTAAATGTTTGGTAGAATTCATCAGTTCTGGGCTTTTCTTTGTGATAATTTTTTAAATTACTAATTTAATTTATTCATTTGTGATAAGCCTAATTAGATTTTCTATTTCCTCTTGAGTCATTTTTGGTAACCTGGGCATTTCTAGAAGTTTTTCCATTTTCTGTAGGTTATCTAATTTGTTTGCATATGGTTATTTATAGCATTCCCTTATAATTCATTTTATTTCATTGCTGTGTTGACAGTTAATATGTTTCAGAAGAATATTCCGATATTCTCCTGGCATGTAACCTCACTGACCTTTCCTCTAGAGCAGTGTTTCCCAAACTTCTCTCATGATGAGAATCACCTGGTGGAGTTGTTAAAATACAGATTTCTGAATCCCAACAAGGAGTGCTAAACTAGAATTTTTGGGAACATATATCTGTATTTTAACAACTCCACCAGTTGATTCTCATCATGAGAGAAGTTTGGGAAACACTGCTCTAGAGAATAGCACAGGATAACAACTTAATCTGCAAATTATTCTTTCATTCTTATGATTGAACTGTTATCACATGCCAGCACTGTTCCAGGCCCTAGGGACACATCAGTGGACAAGTTCCACCTCTGACAGTGAGTGAGACAAAAATGAATACATTAGTTATAATTTCAACTCTGGACAACAGCTATGAAGAAAATAAAATGAGCTATTGGTCATGGATGGGGAGGAGCAATAGTCCAAATCATAAAACATATTCTATTCTTATCCACATACACGATGTAAGAGGAAACTGGTTCCTGACCCATCTCCTAGACATTTATGATTATTTTCTTATTTACAGAAACCATTCCTTCAACTCCCACTTTCTCCTTCTAAATATAATTTATTTTATGGAAAAAGCACTTGCTTTTCTCATTCTGAATAGGCTCTGTGATACTTGTTTCAACAGGTGAAAGAGGAACCATTGGGATGATGGGATATCCAGGCACTATTGGCCTTCCGGGGCCTCCTGGGACCCCAGGCTCCCCAGGACAGAAGGGTAGGTGATGGAAGAGCTTTCTAGTCATCAGGAGGAGGGAACAGCAAAATAATTATATTTTATTATTTGAGGGGAAACTAGTTCTGAAAAAAATGTATTTGATGTTGCTGTTCCCTGTTTTCTTTTTTCCCATTTGAACGGGATCATTTTCTTCCCTACAGGCTGTTTTAGGAAACTATTTATGAAGGTCTCAGCACTGTCAAGTGTTTTGGCTTGTTTGTTTTGTTTTATGGTAAGCACTGTTTACTTTTGCAACCTTATGCACTACTTAAAGAACTAAGGGACTGCTGTGGTTACTCCTGTCTTACAGGTCGCTTTGGAATCCCAGGAGCAAAGGGGGAGCGAGGACCCCCAGGAGCCAAGGGGGATAAAGGAGCCAAAGGACCTCCCGGGCCTTCTCAAATATCTCACTTACTGGGGGACAAAGGAGAGCCAGGCCTCAAAGGTACAGACTGCCTTACATTTAGAAGCAGACCATCAGAGCTGATTCTGAAACTGAGAGTTATCCAGGCAAACCCTTCTGGTTGGCAAATGAGGACAGTGAGGGCCAGTGTTTAGTATCCTGTCCACAGTCCCAAAGCTAGTTGATGGCCCAAGCCTGAACTAGAACCGGGTCTCATGTGCCTCACACAATATGTTGCCTCTTTAATGCATAACTCTGTATTTCTAGTCAACTCTTCATTTTGGTCAGCTGTTTTTAAATTTTCCCGAGTCAGTTTTTAAAACCCTAAGTCTCAGAACCCCTATTTGCCAAGTAAGTTGAAAAATAAACCCTTAGGAAGTTCCACATGAAAACCTTCCCTGCCTAAAATGGAAACCTCCACCCCAAACTCCACTATATTTCATCGATTGTCAGGATTCATTTTCCTCATTTGCATTGCAAAATTGCTTCTTATGCTCAATATCCTTTGGAGAAGAGTGTTTTATACATTTTAAGAAAGCCTGCCTTATGGTCTCCTTGGCCAATTTTAATCCCAAGTAATTTTAGAAAAAAAAGAGAACAGCTGGGTAAAATGAAATATTTGCAGATTAAACTTTCATAGCAGGGAACAATGAAGAAAAATGTATATTTTCAGTTGCCAAATTATATTGTGTTGAATAATTTTAATACATTTTGAGAAGTGGGATTGTATTCAACAAATGTTTTTATGCTTGTCACAGAAGGATGGATAGTAGAAGTAAAGATTGCTTAACAAATTCTGCACAAGGTACTGTAGGCCTGTCTAATTTAAATACAACCAGTTTTTAAAATCTTAATTTCTCAAAGACTCAAAGGCATCCACTGCAAATGGATGAGGTATTGAGGTTGCAATAAGCACAACTGTGGTCCTCTCCTAAAGGAGCCTACATACGTAGGTGTGTGTATGAAAAGGCAGTGAGTAATATTTTTGATCAGGAAAATAGTGTGATCAAAGCCATGTTCTACAAAAGCAGGATGGTGCTGTGGGAAGTTTATGAGTTCTCCCGCCTGTGGAACTGGGTTCAAGTCCCAACACTACTATTGATGGACAGGGCGACTCTAGCTTAGTCCATTGACTTCTTAGGCCAGTTTTCTCATCTCTGCACTCTAGCTGGAAAGGTTTGAGGATAGGCTTAGATTGCCTGCAGAATTAAAAAGATAAATAAAAGAGAATAGTGTCTGTCATATGCTAACTAGTTAATACATAGTTATAATAAATGGACTGAGAATGAGATAGTCTAGACACAAATATGGTCCTCTGGCATCTCTAAGATAAAGCAAGAAGAAGCAATATTTAGGCCACTAATTCTTATAAGCTTGTTAATTGCTGGTTTTGCTTGAGATCTAACTCATGCCAGCTACTGTGCTAATAATCCTGTTTTTAAAAAGATGTAAGTCCACATTGGCCCATTCTCTTAACAAATATCCTGTATTCTGTTATAATAATACTAGAGGCCCAGTGCACAAAATTTGTGCGCTGGCAGTTGGAGGGGGGCCTCCTGCCACTGCTCCTGTGCTCACCAGCTGGAAGCCCAGCTTCTGAAGGAGTGGTGCTCCCCCTGTGGTAGTGCACTGACCTACCGGGGGCAGCTCCTGCATTGAGCATCTGCCCCGTGGTGGTCAGTGCGCATCATAGCAACCAGTCATTCTGGTCATTGCACTGTAATGGCTGTTTAGGCTTTTATTATATAGATCACATCAATTTTAATCAGGATGTGGATTACTCTGATAAAATTCTAACCTCTATTTTTAATACATTGTTTAACACTAGGGTTTGCAGGACAGCCGGGTGAGAAAGGAGACAGAGGCATTCCCGGGTTCCCGGGTTTAGAAGGACGCAGAGGGCCACCTGGACCACCAGGACCACCAGGTATAGTGGACTTGCTAATAGAAGTATCAGGGTTTAGTGGTTTCCCTACATCTAAATGTAACAAAAACGTGTTTCTAGACTTTCTGGTGTGAATGTGATTCCTGCTCCAATAGTCTTCCAACAGAAATTTGCTTCTAAATTAAACCAAAATGAAGGTGTGTATAGTCAGCCTGTATTAACTAAAAAATATTAACATGCACAAAGTTCCATTTTTGTAATAAAGTTTTTATTTTGAAGCTACTAATATGTATTGCAAACTTTAATTTATCACAATGTTACATATCATAGAAGAAAATCAGATAATGCCTTAGAGGTTTTCAAATTTGCCTCTTCCTTTTTTAAACAGGTTATTGAGTTTGCAAACTAATTTTTTAAACTATTAAAGTAGCCACCTTGTTCTCTGTGATTCCATCAAAATATATTACATGGCAGTAAATGTTCAGAGTAGAAATCTATTACTTTCCTGCTTCAGTCCTAGGATGATCTTGATATTATTCAAAATCTAGGCCTGATGACAAGAACCTAACTTTCTCTAAGTTTACATGTCTGGGTTCTCAGTTCCTTCCTTATATGAAGGCAAAAGGCAGCTAGCAAGTACTCAAACCAACTGGCCTGGCTGCTCTCGATACATAAATTCATGCAGGCAACAGATATTTATTGAGCACCTTGTGTCCAGGAACTATGCAGGGCACATGACTTTTTATTTCTTCTCAAGGCCCCAGAGGAGATCCTGGAAGCCATGGGAATCCTGGAGAACCGGGCCCCCGGGGAGTGCCAGGAAGCATGGGGCACATGGGGGTGCCAGGTAATGGATACGATCCTGCTATGAGTCTACATGCTTACAATGGATCACAGTTCTCGATATTGTGTTATTTGTTCTTTTGATTTCCCATTTCTTAGAAAGTTGGTGTAATACAATTAAGTTTACTTTCAGACAAATGCACTATGTGCAACTAGAATACTAATGAGAACAAAACAAATATTTACATTGTGTAAAAATTATCCATCATGACTACCTGGTATATTAGTGATACCGAAAGGTCAACTTCCTAAAAGAAAGGTGTTTTGTGCAAAGGCTGGAAGTAGAACACTTCGAAATCCCTGTTTACCTATTGTGTCTGATTTCTTTCCTAATTTTAGGCTCCAAAGGAAAGAGGGGAACTTTGGGACTCCCAGGTCTCCCTGGAAAAACAGGCCTCCCAGGTGTTCATGGTCCCCAAGGAGATAAGGGAGAGCCGGGTTATTCAGAAGGCACAAGGCCAGGACCACCAGGACCCAAGGTATATCGGCCAGTGAAGTACTTACATTTTGGTGATGGGGGGAGTCCCTTTAAATACTAACAACTATTGGATTCAATGTGAGTAGAGAAAATTTTAAATGTTATTATATTTTCAGGTAGGTGTTTGGGTTCTCTTTAATCCTACCTTCACAACTGAGGATGCTGTCAACTTCTTAATGTATTCCTGCCAGTTTCAACTCTGAAGGAATTTCTCATCATTACTCCTACAATTTAAGTGTGCTGCCAGAAGGAGGCAGTGATCAGGGACTTACACAATCTGCCAGGGCAGTGTTTGTTTTCTGCGACACAAAGTAGCCAGTCTCTGCTATGGACTCACCTCACACAGACTTATACAAACAAATTTCCTTTGCCCTCGATTTTTAGACTAGGTCTTCAGAAAACCAGGGAGACACCATTTCCACTGAGATATTTTCTCAGTGAGGAATTGTCTTATACTTGATTCCTATTCAATTAATTAATAGTTTCACTTAGATTTAGGGTTTTTATAAGTAACCACAGAAAAGATGTTCAGAACCATACATTGAACAAAAAAAAAATGGGCTCATTTTATCAGACTGGCAAATCATAGTAACAGAGTAGTATATTTTAATCAATTACTATGGAGATTTTATAAGTAACCATTAAGTCCATACATGCTGGTTTTTTATAAAACTAGAAGCCCAGTGCACGAATTCGTGCACCAGTGGAGTCCCTTGACCTGGCCTGCGGGGATCAGTGGACCTCAGTGCCACCACCGCCTGGCCTTACCGACCAGCTCATTGGGTTCCAGACCACTGTCCATGTGAATCCTGCACAGCACTAAGTAGTGCGCGAAGCAGCAGGTGGTCAGGGAGGAGCCCAAGCCCTGGCTGGGCTCAGCACCACTCCCACTCTTCAGGGGGAGTGTCTGCGGGAGAGGTTTGTGCTGCCACAGCTGAGTGGGCCTCCAGCTGTGGAAGTGCACTGACCACCAGGGGTCAGCTCCTGCAATGAGCATCTGCCCCCTGGTGGTCAGAGCATGTCATAGCTAGCAGCCAGTCATCTGTTTGTCCAGCCACTCAGGCTTTTATATATATAGATTGAAGTACACATGTAATGGAGATTTTGCTTTCTTTTTATATATGATTGACATGCATTTATTGGCATGTATAATATCTGTAGAACATATGTGCATTTGGTCTAACTATTTCTTTCCTACTCCTGAGTTAATTATCACAAGTTGTGATAATTACACCTTTGTGTGATTATTTACTATCTCCCCTCTGGTCTCCACAAAGCAAGGACTCTATATATCACACATGTGTATATGGTTATTATATTCCTGGTAAAAGCCAGTTTTGTAGGTGTGTGGCCCATGTAGTCATAGGGGTTGGGTACTAAGAAGGACAGCACATTTGGTTCAGTGCTTTAATGTTGCTGTTTTGAATTGCTTTATCAATTCAAAATTGCTTTATCAATTCTTTTTTGTAAAAGGGAGCTGAATATTCATTTTGTGCTGGGCCCCAGAAAACATATAGACCCCCCCCCCTTTTCCCAAGCACCTGTCATATTACTGGCACATAGCAGCTACTCAGTATGCATTGCTAACTGACCAGCTAAATAATATTTCTATGTAATAAAAGCACAGCTGCAAATTGTCCTCTTGACCTGGAGTTCGACCAGGGGGCAGGGCCGACTGGCAGCTGGGGGAAGGGAGGGAGTACCCAGCCTCCAGCAGCCAGCAGCCACTGGGGACCTTCCAGTGTATGAATTTCATGCACTGGGCCTCTAGTGTTAACAATAAATAAATGCAAAACAAATACAGTTTATACTTCATTCTGATCACATATCCTGCTTACATGAGAACTTTAAAGGTGTTTGATTGAATTTAAGGGAGAACCAGGATTGCCAGGTGTCATGGGAATGAAAGGAGAAAGAGGGCCACCTGGGCCGCCTGGACATTCAGGACCCGCTGGACCTGACGGAGTCCCCGGACATCCCGGAAGTCCCGGCCACCCAGGTGAGCACTGGCTTTACTCTGTGAGCAGGAGGCATGACACTTAGCATGTCTCTCGCCACCTAGAATCGTCTCTGTAAACAGAAAGCTATTTAGGCTTTTGTATTATAATTGCTTTTATTCAACTTTCATCTTCTAATTCTAAGACACTAAGGAATAGGAGGTGAATCAAGAGGAGCCTTACTTGCTGATGAGCCAGTTTGGTGGACTGAGATCTAAAAACTGCTCCCATAAACAAAACTTCTGAGGTGCTCCCCAAAATTTCTGAGGAGTTCAGCCCAGAGACGTGAAATGTTGGTTCATTGTCCAGTCTTATGATGGTGTATCCATTTTCTAGGTTTCCCATAACAAACAATGCAGATGGAAATTTATTTCCTCAGAATTCTGTAGGCTAGAAGTTTGAGATCAAGGTATGGGCAGGGTTGATTTCTTCTGAAGCCTTTCTTCTTGACTCATAAAGGGCCATCTTCCCCCCGTGTCTGTCCTCTGGGTCTGTGTCCAAATGGCTGCTCCTTATAAGGACACCAGTCATGTTGGAGAAAGCCCACCCTAGTGACCTCATCTTAATTTAACTGCTTCTTTTAAGACCCTGTCTCCAAATATAGTGACATTCTGAAGTATAGAGGGTTAGGGCGCCAGCATACAAATTAGGAAGCAACACAGTTCAACTCATAACCCTGTTGTGGTGTTATTTTTTTCTGGCATGTTTCAAGGTCAAACTTTGGCTTTATTTTTTTATTGCTTATAATTCAGGTTTCAGTTTTTGTTTTGCTTTACTAAAAACAACTGCTAAGCTACCGGGTTGCAGCTGCCGGTCTTACTTACAGATACCATTTAAATTATCCTTTCAAACACTAAAAGTTCCATGGATTTGCTGTTAATTCCCAATGGATCACAAAGCAATAAGTCAGGTATCGAGTGGCCCACGTGATTGCTGTGTGCACACTCTTCAAAGCGGTTCAACACATTGCTGTGCTTCTCTAGGGAAGCAGCACCCAACAAAAAGCCTGAGGTGACAGGTACAAGTCACCTGAACACCAGCGTGAGCAAGGTTGACTGTAAGAACCGACCATTTCAGCCAATGTAACCATTTCTTTTGTCCTTTCCCTCTCTTTCCATTTATAGGAAAGCCGGGTCCTGATGGTGACATGGGGTCGAGAGGAATGAAAGGTTTCCCTGGATTTCCAGGAACAAAAGGCCCTCCAGGTTCCTGCTCTACATTGTCTATCGCCCTTTCCCGAGGGACGCGTGTTCCCCCTGAGTTTGAACTCTCTCCTTAGCCATAGCTTTGAGCCATGACTGCTCTTTAGAAGGTAGCCTCCAATTACTCAGTCCTCAGACAGAAATGCAGAAGAGTGAGGCTAGCTATTTATATCTAATTCAAAGGTCTGCCAACCTCGACATTCCAAAGTGATAATCCTCATGACTGTATGAGTCTGTTCCGAGCTTTCATTGTGAAGTTAGCTGCATGTAACTACAGTTCTGCAAAATAAACACTTTTACCAGAGTTACACACGCCTGGCATGGTAGGCCATTCATCGGAAGGAAGTTCTCTCTTTGAATGACTTTTTCTTTTTTTCAGGCCCTCCAGGATTCCCAGGAGACCCTGGCCCCATGGGTATGAGAGGAGACCAAGGAGGTGACGGGATTCCTGGTCCAGCAGGAGAAAAGGGAGAAACGGGTACAACTTGCTCGTATTCTTGGATCCACTCATTTTATTTTGCATGAAATTATTAGTGACACTAATTATTAATTAATAATTAGTAATTCTTCACTGCTCTAGAGATTCTTTTCTGACAGAGCAATCTTTAACATGTTTTGGGTATGTGATAATTTAGACTTCCTTTTATTGCCAATGTTAAATCGACCTAGCAGTATCAATCATATCTACATAATGAAGCCAACCACATGTAAACTATTAATATGCCAAAATGACCTCTTTCAGGTTTGCTGGGGGCACTTCCAGGCCCAAAAGGAAAGCGTGGTGTTCAAGGTGAGCAGTTCTTCCTTCTCAGCCCTGGTGACTCACAGGTTCAAGGACAGAGTCTAATGTAATATGCTTGATCGATAAAATAAAAACATACAGGATTAAAAGAGTTCCAGTAGTAAAATAGGATGTTTCCATTCTTCATAGTCAAGTAAAAATGCTTCCTTATTACCATTACCACAAAGTGAATGAATTAGGAACTGTGATCCAATTTCGGGATTTCCTGCTATGAAAGTCTTTACAAATAAAAAGATTTTTTTTTTTTATCTATGTGCTTTATTATTGCCAGCATGTTTTAAAGGCAGCATTTCCTAAAAGGAGAAGGTGAAATCGGTGGCTTCTCAGTGAGCATCCCTCCCTGCTCTTCTTCGATGCAGGAATAACGCCAACCCTTTCCCACCTTATCATCTTCACAGCTCTGATTCCACCCCCACCACAGCCAGCTTGTGGGTCGTGCTACTCTTGACAAATTCTTTTAACATCTCAGACCTGGCAATTTACTGAGCATATCATGCAAAGCACATACAAGGTTTTCATTGGACAGTTGTAAATAGTTCGGAATGTCTCGTGCCAGTGTGTCATACAATAAGCAGCTGAAGTTTTCCCATTTTGTAGAGAAACCTGCCAGAAGAAACATTAGCTTGCTTGCACCTTTTTGTTGACCCTTCTCAGCCGTGGGTCCTGTGGATTTGAGTATTTTATTAGCAAAAATGCCTAAACCCTAGTTATTGATACTCACAAGAACCAGCAAGAAGTCGTCTGATGCTACTGAGAAACTCAGAGGGGCAGGAACTTCCTCTTGACCTACCAGCTCACCTGTGAACATAGACCAAAGCTGCCTCTTTCTGTTTGCTTCTGGATGATGTGATCATCTTTGTGGATGAGTTCAATATCCCCGCTTTCTCACATGCACCTCCCTCCCCCAGGAGCATAAGGCCTTCCCAGTCTAGGTCACCGTCGCGTTTTAAAATTATGTCCAAAAAAAAGAGTTTCTGTTCCTTTCCTGGGCTAAGTTCCCAATATAACCATCTGGAATGAGAAATCTTTAGCATTTAATTGGAAATGCAATTGATATAAAATGATCACATCTTAAGTTTTTTAAAAAGCATCAAAAATAACAAATAGCCTAATTGTGTAAGTAGATGATTACGTATGTACCTCAATCCCTCCAGGATAACTAAATATGGAGAAGAATTCATTTGAGATATGGAAGGTCAGAATCCTTTTCATTAGTTTATTCTCCCAACTCCTAAAAAGAAACCATGTCATAAAACAAGGAAGAATTTGAATGGAATTGGAACATGTAACCCAAGACAGCAACTTGGTGCTTCAGACCATTGCCAGACGGTTGTGCAAATACAGTATTTCACAGCTTAGATTGAGCTGAATTCATCTAGACACTTTAAAAGCATAAATTATGAGCATCAAAAAGCTAAAGAGCATGACAGACAAAAGGCTAGATAGTCAATATTCATCCATTTTATTTCCAGCCTCACTTTTAAGTCTTCCCCGCATCATAGCTTCCCAAGCCCTTCCTATGCCGGCAGCCTCATCCCCACTTTGTCTTCTTGCCATCATATCTGTCTCCTATTTTTATGCCACTTGCTGTTTCTATAATAACCCGAAGATGGGAGAGAGGGGGAAGTTTATTTTAGGCTTACACAGCATTTTCCATTCGTGAATGTCAATGTACTGGTATACGTTCTTGAAGGTTATTGAGAAATATTATTATTTAGTAGTGACTTTGAGGCTCTTTTTGGTAAATCCAAAGCTCCTGCCACATCCATCCCTTGCAGAGTGGTTTGCCATATGGGGGAGGAGTAACCAGAGGACAGAGATGGGATTACAGCTTTGTCGCTCCTTTGCCTGGATTGAGCTGGGCGACACTTCCAATGCACACATCATTGCCGTGAAGTTTTAATTTTGGGTGCTCTGCTGAGTTTTCAGTGATCAAATAATGAAATTTTTATTTTATCTTAATGAAAGTTCATCGGATATTAACAGTCGTGGCTTACATTTACAGAATACTTTAGACTTTACACCATGCTTTTCCATATCACTTTTCCATTTATTACCTCACTGGGTCCTTGAAGACCTGAGTTAGGTCAGATCCTATCTTCATTTAAAAAATAAGAATATGACAAAGTGACTTTGCCAAGATCAAATGGCTAATCAAAGGCAGAACTTACTCAAGACCTGCATTTCTTTTACCAGCTTATTTTTATAAACTGTGTGTGTGTGTGTGTGTGTGTGTGTGTGTGTGTGTGTGTGTGTGTGTTGTGAATCTTAACACATTGTTAGAGATAACCACAAACTCTAACTCCCAGTAGAGGGACTTTACGGAAGCTTATAAGGCCTTTCCTTTTGCAGGAGCGAAAGGAGACAGAGGAGCCCCAGGCTTGCCCGGCCTTCCCGGCAGGAAGGGGGCAGTGGGAGATGTTGGGTCTCGAGGACCCCCAGGAGTGCCAGGATTCCCAGGGCCACCAGGTTTCCCTGGTGCAGTCATCCCTGGCCAAAAAGGAGACCGAGGCCCACCAGGCCCAAGAGGAAATCCAGGTAGAGGATCTACTTTTAAAGAAGATAAAAGAGTGGAAATAATGTTTAACAACAGAAGCTTTCAACTCCCCCTCCTGTGACCTTACTGCTTCTTTTCCCTCTGGTCTTCTCCATTTTTCCATACCCACTGGATTTCACACAGAGTGACCCAAAGCTGTTGGTATTGTTGATGCAGATGGTCTGTAAAATTGGTAAATGCCAAATTAGCCTAAAAGACAGAGATGCATCCATCCACCAGTGAGTTCCTGCTCTGAGTCAGGTACGGAGCTGGAGAAGATCCTGCTCCCACAGACCTGCATCGGGGAGAAACCATTCTTGCCTTGTGCCAGGGGCTTCACTGGCGTTAGCTCATTCTGTCTTGACCATAATCGCATCACCCTCTCAAAGGGGAAATTGTTCAGGGTAATGGTCAGGAACGGGGTTTGCACTCTCTTCCAAAGAATCATCCAAAGAACCTGCCGGGATCCCCGACATGCAGTACTGACAGGCTCTTTCTGAATACAGGTGAGCCTGGTCCCCCTGGACCTCCGGGGAGTCACATCAAAGGCATAAAGGGAGACAAGGGATTTATGGGTGAGCCAGGCCCAAGAGGCCCACCTGGAGCCGCAGGAGACACGGGGCCTCCAGGTCCTCCCGTAAGTGTGGAAAATCATTTTGACTTTTTATATTCTCCCAAACCAGTTGCCAGGATCAGGACACAGAGGCAACAAAATTTCCCCATCCGTAATGCTTCTGAGAAGACAGAGTCCAGAGGTTCATAGAACCAGAGTCGTAAGCATTAGATTTGGCTTCTGAGAGGCCCCTAAAGTGTGGACCCTTTTCTGTGTCACTGCTGACCTTTCCTTGTTTCAATTCTGAGCAATTCCAGTTTTGGAAGCTTCAAACACACACACACACACACACACACACACACACACACACACACACACACAAAAACAACAACAACAAAACAAAAACACCTAGGGGTTTGGGATCACATTAGAAGACAGCATAATTTGTCTCGGTTTATATGCTTTTGAAGTTTTGTGTGCTACCCCTAAATGTATATTTCCTTCCCATGTCATACACTCCAGTGTTTATAAATACCTGCCATTTCCTTCCAAATACCTGGGTGGGCAAACGTAGGTTAACAACAACAACAATAATAAATACAATAATTAATAAATAAGCAATACAAAAATAAACTGTTTCTCATACTCACAACTGTTAACCTGCTTTTGTCTACCCCTATATTGTCTCCCCCAATAAATACCTGTTTTCTTTTTCAAATTCAATTTAACCTTTCATCAACCCTGCCTCTATTGATATATCCTACTTTGTCAACATCCCCCTTAAAAATGCAGGCCCTGGACAAAGAATATCCAGGAGTGAGGACGCGATAGTCAATGGGGTGCCTAGAGGAGGGAACAGTCTCACTATCCTGACATCCCCACTTTGTAACACAACCTAACATCCACTCGGGCTGCTTGGCTGCCACGTCCCCATCTTGTGGCTGCTCATTGAGCTCACAGTCAGTGAAAGCCCATGTGCCTTTCCCCGTGAACTGCTACTAAGTTTCCCCCATTGGCTCTTGTCCTGCCTGCTTCCTTGAGACTTGCATGTGGACTTTCACATTTACCTTTCTAAGATGTCACTTTGTTCATTTAGGCTCATCTCCCAGCCTATTACTATCTCTCAACTCAGCCTCTCACTCAACACCTCAGCCTTCTTCCTGGCTTTCTGATTCCTCCGTTTACATCAAATTCTTGGAGACTGATGAGGAATCAGAGTTCTGTCACAGATGTTCTGGGTCAGGAATCGTGCTGCTTTCTCAAGATCTCTTGGTATTTGGTTTCCAAAAGCTACTCTTTTAAAACCTTTTTTTGTTTGTTTGTTTGTTTGTTTGTTTGTTTGTTTGTTTTAATTTGAAAAGTGAGATATTTGCCCTTCTTCAGTCTGAGTATTCTCGTGTTCTTCATGATTCTTTGAAAGTGGCAAACACTGACCCTGTGATCACACCAAAAGTTCTCCCCAGGACACTGGGATGTGGAAAGTCCGGTTTAGAAATGTGATCTCTCTTAAACCTTCTGGGGGTTCCACCAGCTAGGCTTCCTTTCACACTGGCACTCGAAAGGTAACTCTTCCTGATGGAAGTTCAAACTGGCAAGGTGCCTTTACCAGTTTTCTTCTTCCATAGAAGAGCTCACTCCCCAGCCAAGGGCTGGGCCTGGCATCGGGCCCTCCTCCCTGGTTATCTCTGCCAGACCTCAGAAGCCTGGGAGTCCTGGATCAGATCGCTCTGTTTGCTCTCCCTTCTTTTTTTTTAACCTCACCCTGCCTTATCCAAGCAATAGGACTGCTTCTTGGTTTGATCTTCTTGCTCCAATGACAGGTGGCTCAAAGGGCAGTCTTGTTGTTCTTGGCATTTTTCATGTCCGCTGTTTTCAAGTAACACATTCTGTCTCAAGTCACACGGACTCTGTAGAGTAGATTTAACATACATTCCAACATATGGCTCTTTTCAGAAGCCTTGTCCACTCCCCCCTCCTTTCCCTCTAAGTCTTTGCTTGGGCATCTCCTGGTTGCAAGAGCTATTCATGTTCAGCCTCATTTGGAGGGAGCATCTCCTCCTGGGCAGATCATTGCATCCTTGTCCAAAGTGCGTGTCAAAACTGTCCTAACCACCCTTTCATGCGCCCATCTCTGGACACTGTTTCTACCACTCTGACCAATTCATAACTCTGCTGGCTTAATCAGAATGAGTTATTATTTTTAAGTTATTATTATTGAAAACTATAGTCTTAAGGAGACATGTAGGTGGCAGAGGAATTATAGGAGGTGAAACAGTGATTGCAAAGTTAAATGATGTCTCTTAACCTCAGCTCATTCTTATCTATCAGATTATATACTATTTATATCCCATTTTCTTTGAATGTTGTGATTTTTTAAATTTGTCTGGTTCTGCTCTCTTTCACTTGAAATATAGGGAGCTCCCGGTACTCCAGGTCTGCCGGGGCCCAGAGGTGACCCTGGGTTCCAAGGATTTCCAGGCATGAAAGGTACTGTTTTGTGCACTTCTCTTTGGATGCAAATACAATGACTGAGATTCACAGTGTAGTTCACCCATATGTTTATTGAACTCCCACAGTCATCCCAGATATTAGGATTATACAAAGAAGACATTAGTGTTAGTGAAGAAGAGGATTTAAAAATTAAAACCATACCTTAAAGGTGGGAACTGTAGGAAAACTAAGTAGAAACAGTTTAAAGTGGTTACCTTTGAGTGTACTGATGTGTGAGAGTTAGGGGATGGGGGCCTACATTAATAGCAACAGCTATTATTGGTTTATTGCTTGGGTTATTTCTTTTACCTTGTGCATGTGTTACAAGTTTAAAAACTGAAAACCTAAAAAAATATTCATCAAACTGTTTATTAGTGTAGGAGGATAATATGTAGGTTTCAGTATTTTTTTATGGAGCACATCTGTTATGTTTTTAATGAGAGAAAAAAAAAACACTATACTTTGGGGATTTTTAAGTTTAAAATGTTCATCCCCAGAAATATAAGCTTCAGGTTTTAGAAATTCTCCAATCTTCCATAGGGGTGCTATCACCTTAAATAAGGTTTTGACTATGGGATTTGTTGTTTTCGGTGGCTAAATCCCATTATTATTTTGTGTATGGCAGGGACTCTATATAGACTAAGATGCTAAGTAATAGGTGTAGCTAAAGTGAATAGAGCCACAGTTTCACAAAGGAAAACTTTTTCCAGGACTAAGGAGTTAACTTTTTCCAAGACACAAAGAGAACCTTTTTCGTGCATTCAATCACCGACTCCACAAGGAGTCCATTAGTTAAGAATAAGTCAAAGCAAGTATCCTGATGAGTCTCATTAGACATTGGGTGGGTGACTACTGGCAGGCAGCCTGGGAAAAATGTGTGCCACCTGTCACTTCCTCAGTCTCACAACAGGAATATCTAAGGATTGAAAAATTATGTAAAGGCTTCACTAAAGAAACATTCTGGGGAGATGTTTAGAGGGGGTTTCATAAAATCCAGTTCTGTTATTAAATATAGGGTATCCCAAAAAATGTATACACACACTTTGAATAATAAAGGCAGTGTTTATTAAAATACATCTCATATCAACTGTTAAAGTGTGTATGGTCCATGAAATATTTAATCCCCTCAGATTTCAGAATAAGACCATCTATCATCTGGCACTACTGAGTTTACACTTTTTTATTTACAAATTATTAATCCCCAAAGGGAAAGATATGGAGGCTTCTTCTGGTGTATATAAGTAAATATTGACACCTTCCTCAAGTTCTGATATCAAGTGGATAACTTATAGTGTAATTGCCAGTTAACTTTTGGTCACTGTTTTATTGTATCTCTTCTATAAATATCATATTTAGTATTAAAGTCTTCCTAAGTAATCAGGTGTAATATCTACATTAGGTTGAGATTTTTTTTTTTATAATAGAGTATTTATACAAATCAATGGTTCTTGGTACCTTTGTTGTTGTTGTCAAACACTGGGAGAAAATTTGCACTATTTTGATAGTTTATATCAAAACAGATATTCTCTATGTACTCATGAGAGTTCCTAACATAATATTAACTCTGGGCTGTGAGAAGCTAGAGTAATAAGCTGAGAAACAGGTAACTATGACAACCAATATAACTTAGCAGGAAGTGCTAAAATAGGATTCAATGTCACTTTGTATTTTACCTTAAATATGACATTGAATTGCTTCCTGAACTTAGTGAGCTCTTAGGAACTCTCCCCCTTCAATGCTAAAATACAAAATCTTAATGCTTACTTCTAGAATATACTTTCCAATAGGTATTAAACATTGGGTCCAAATGAAATGCCAAAACCCATGTGAATAGCTGTCACAGAGTTTATAACCTCTAGTCACATTTTCCAGTATTTAGCTAGGAAACCCACTATTCTAAGAGACATCACATTGACTCCCTTCCCCCTTTGTTTTAAGGAGAGAAGGGTAATCCAGGATTTCCAGGATCAATTGGACCTCCAGGGCAAACTGGGCCCAAAGGGCCACCAGGTAAATATGACTGCTTTAGTATTGCTCTCCATGAAGAAAAGAGTAGCTCATCAGTAAAGCCATCTTCTTCTTATGTTTGTGTCAATAGGTGTACGTGGAGAACCTGGCACAGTTAAGATCATCTCCCTTCCAGGAAGTCCAGGCCCACCTGGCCGAGCTGGAGAACCAGGGATGCAAGGAGAACCTGGGCCACCAGGGCCACCGGGAGTCCTAGGTGTGTGACGGGAAGCATTGACTTGGATCACTAGGAAGTAGTTGAACTAGCAAATGGTGCTTCTCAGAAATGTTACAAATTTGAGCTCATTTTAGTTTTGACTAGCAAATACAAAGCCTTTTGAGTCTATTGAAAGCTGTTGTGCATGGTATAAACTTGAGTAAGTACACTCTAGGGAATTAAGGGTTGTTGTATTTTAATTAAGGTAAAAGTATTCTGTCTTCACTGACAACTGTTAGTCTTAGAGCTCTATTTCTGACGGCCTGAATAAACTTGACTTCTATGTATTGGTACATTTCTTTCTACAGCACTTGGAAAAGTAGAAAATGCAAATGTAAGATTCAGCTCATGAAAGCTTTTCAGAATACTAGTATTAGTGTATGAAAATTGAACTAACCCCTTTATACAGGTTCAGTGTATTGTAATAGTCTTCTGAATGGAATTATGTTCTAAGTTTGCTTGAATCACCTGGGAAATGCCATATTACGTTGAACAATACAAGGGCAAAGTGAATTCTGGAATAGCATAAATCAAAATGGCAGCAGTTTTAAAATGCTGTACTTCATATACTCCTAGTTCATTTCTAAGGGGCTTTTTTCCTGGGAACAAGGGTGTAACAAAGTGGATGAGCAACTGTCTCTGTTTATACAAGGCTTAGCTTCTGCTCAGTTTGCAACACTTGCACTGCTGAAACTGGGGATGTCCCAGATAAACTGGATCACCCTAACTTTTATCCTATATGAACTATTCAATACAATGTTGGTTTTTCTGTTTTGCTCTGTTGTTTTGTTGTTGTTATTTTATGTATAGGACCCTGTGGGCCAAGAGGTAAACCAGGCAAGGATGGAAAACCTGGAACCCCTGGACCACCTGGAGAAAAAGGCAGCAAAGGTTGTAAAGGAGAGCAAGGTAAATGGCTGGCGTATTCCCTTCACAGGAGAGCTGTTTCAATAGACAAGCTGCCCCATGTGGACACAAGATGGCCACCACAAGATGGCTGGCAGCGGAGGGCAGTTGTGGGCAATCGGGCCAGCAGGGGAGGGCATTTGGGAGGGACCAGGACTGCAAGGTAGAGCAGTTGGGGTGATCAGGCCTGCAGGGGAGGACAGTTGGTAAGGAAACCACGTCTGCAGAAGAGGGCAATTGGGGGGGACCAGGTCTGCAGGGGAGGGCACTTGGGGGCAACCAGGCATGTAGGAGAGGGCAGGTAGGGGCGATCAGGCTGGCAGGGGAGGGCAGTTGGGGGGACCAGGCCTACAAGGGAGGGAAGTAAGGAGGGACAAGGGAGGGCAATTAGAGGTGACTGGACTGGCAGGGGAGGGCAGTTATGGATGACCAGGCTGGCAGGGGAGGACAGTTAGGGGCAATCAGGCCAGCAAGGGAGCAGTTAGGCATCAATCAGGCTGGCAGGGGAGTGATTAAGGGGTGATTAGGCTAGCAGGCAAAAGCAGTTAGGGGCAATCAGGCAGGCAGGCAGGTAGGTGAGCAGTTGGGAGCCAGCAGTCCTGGATTGTGAGAGAAATATCTCAGATTGGAAAGGGGGCAGGCTGGGCTGAGGGACACACACACATACACACACATCTTGGGCACAAATTTCATGCACTGGGCCTCTAGTTTGGAAGATAAAATCAAAAGTTACTGGAATACACCAAGTTTCCTATCTCCTAACTAGACAAATAGACACCAAATTAGTTTGAGGACATTTAGTCCTCATGAATCACTAATTCCATTTTCATAAAGGCCAGTGCTGTTTTTATTTTATAGAGTACTTAGTTAATAATAGCTACTTATGGGTGTGTTATACAAGTAGAGAAATATTACCTTGATACACATAGAAGAACAACTCAGTATCCTTACTTAGGAAAGCCATGTGTTAACTATGCCATTCTTGACTACAACCCAATAACTCGGGGGGCAGGGGAGGGGAGGGCCTCTAAAATATTTTAGTCTGAACATAAGCTATATGTTCTCCTGGGACAAAATCTACCTTCTACAAAAGTTTCAAAAGCACCTCCTATAAACTACCTAGATGTCCAAATCTTATATCTTAGGATTCCTGACTTTGTTAAAATAAGAAAAAATTCTAAATGTGATTTCCCAATTATATGCCCAGATCTATTATAATAAGGCTATAAAGAGTAGATATTTAAAAATTCAATTGTGCTAACATTAACTACATCAATTGTGCTAACGTTAACTACATCAATTTCATAACTCATAATTTAGTATTGTCATGAGTGTACATTAGAGCACTATTTATTTGACTTTCTTTCAAATATGTTTTTTCAAGTGATAAAAAAAAAAGTCTTACTAATAATTTTATTGATTTAAAAAAGTTTACTAACCAAGTTAGTTCTTTCAGAACGGGACCAAAGGTACTAAGTACAGATTGTATTGAGAATGATTAGCAAAAACACTGGTGGTTCCCAATGTGGGGCACACACCCCACAGAGGGGCAATTTTATTTTTAAGGGAGGCAATTTGATTTTTGAGGGAGGTAATTTGAGAATGAGTTACGGTATTAACAATGAGGTCTTTGCATTTCTTATGGTTCTAGGGGCCTTATCTATTTGTACAGTATATAAATATATATTGTGACATACTTATGCATTTCAGTTCTCTATATGTTCTGAAACTTTATTTGCTATTTTTTCATATCACTTCAAATTACTATTTTTTTTTAAACAATTTCTTAGAGATTTCTTCTTCTGTATTTCAACTGTCCTTTCTTTCTTTTTTATCTTTCATGGATGCCATGTTCTTTGGAAGCTTGTTTAGGCCAAGTTGATGGCCTTTTAGGCTTCCTGCACATGAATTATTCACTTTTTGAATAATAAGAATTATATGTCACGGGGAGGGAGTGCTTCAACATTTTAGAGATGCTTAGGTGGGGCATGGCCAAAAAAAGGTTGGGAACCACTGAAGTACTAGACATAGTTGGTCCTAATGCTATAAAAGACCTCCTAAGAATGAGAAAGGGATCTAAGAGTCTAACAGAAAAAGTGAGGAGACTGAAAATTATATATATAATATTGGGGCTTTACCAAATCCTTGTGAAAAGTATTGACTTATAATTAGGACTAAACTAGGACACTGCCTGACTCCTTGGCCTGATTGTTTATGGGAACAATACCTCCCTTGATTCACTAGGCCAAAAATCCAAGTGTCTGCTGGCTCTGCATGTCCTTAGAATTATAAAGAACCATCACCCAGATCAGGCTGGGGTGGAGGGTCAGGGTGCAGTGGCAGCAGAAATGGATCAGGGGAGATGAGGCTGGTTAGCCTCTGCCAGAATCATAAATAATGGGTATTTGATGAAGAAAAGGAGAACAGGAGGAATGAGAAAAATGGATAGTGACAAAAGTGTATTAACTAGCCTACTCAAATGCAGAGAAAATTTACAAAGTAAAAAAAGTACTTGTTTTAATCCATATAAACTCTTATCACGGAACAAAAAGTCTGGTTTTTACTTGCTTTACTAATTGATCAAAAACATTCTTGAAGTTTGCACCTTTGAAAGGAACTGTCAATGTTTTCCTTGTTTATTGAATTTATGAAAAACCTATGTAATTTTTTATCTTCTTGAATAGATTTTCAAAGCATAGATATTTGACTTCTTATTCCCATTGTATGCATTGATGTATGCATAAAAGATGTACATAAGACCTACAGGAGGCAGACCACTGCTAGGCACCTCAGGGAAATACAAAGGCCTGATCTCAGAACCCTCATAAGATATACACAGGCATTGTATTTGTAATATACAATGTATAATATGTGCATTATGCGGTATCTATATCAGGCATTTTGTGACATTATTCAACATTTAATATTGTTTGACCATTTTATAAGCCACTATTCTGTGACTCTTTTCTATATTTGGGGCTTATCAAATATAAAGTTAGTACTTTGGAACAAGTTTGAGGTTGTTTGTGTTACATGTGTTTCTTCAAGGACCACCTGGATTTGATGGACGGCCAGGTTTGAAGGGGATACCTGGTGACACCGGACCACCTGCAACCAGGACAACGATGAGAGGCTTTCTTTTCACCCGCCATAGTCAGACCACAGCAATTCCTTCCTGTCCAGAAGGAACAGAGCCACTCTATAGTGGGTTCTCTCTTCTTTTTATACAAGGAAACGAACAAGCTTATGGACAAGACCTGGGTAATGTCCCAGTTCCAAGTTCCCACTCACTGTACCATATACAGATTATAAGTTTGTACCTGTTAACCCCCTTCACCTTTTTGTCCATACCACCACCCAAACCTTAGGCAACAATTAGTATTTTTGTACCTTTGAGTTTGTTTTGTTCATTTGTTTTGTATATTCCACACATAAAATACTTGTCTTTCTCTGATTTATTTCACTTATCCATGTTGTCACAAAGGGCAAGATTTCATTTTTTTTCATGCCTACTATTCTGGTGTGTGTGTGTGTACATATATTTCTTCTTTATTCATCTATTGATGAACATCTAGGTTGCTTCCGTATCTTGGCTATTGTAAATAATGTTGCAGTGAACATGGGGGAACATATATCCTTTTAAATTAGTGTTTCATTTTCTTCAGATAAGCACCCACAGGGTGTGGCAGGGCAGGAGCCTCTTTGGACGGGTGCTAACTTGGGTGGGTTCTCAGGGAAACGCCAGTGGGGTGAATAATGTTCACGAGGTTAATGGAGTGTCAGAAATGACACCTGCCACTGTCAGACTAGCTAGGTTAAAGAAAGGGGAGAGGGGAATGGCACCTGCCAGCACCTCTGACTCACAAGAAAGTTCCAACAGATCTGTTGCTCCAGCACACACCCTAAACTAGTTCAATGTATCACCTTCACATATGACCTATGTGCTTTTCATTCTGCTGCCTGTGCTAGGACTGAGAAAGAGCACAACCTGGGTTTCCCTTTGGCTCTCCCAGATGTAAACCCTGCAGGTTTTCAAAGCCAGATGTTATAGGGGCTCCTCTTTCTAATTTAGGTCTCCCAGGCTAGGGCATGGACCCCTAGCTCTTTGGGGAAGATCTCTGTGGTTATGATATCACTCTTACTTGTGAGTCACTGCTTGGGGAGTGGAAGATAGGGAAGGTCCTGATTAGACTTAGTCTCTACCCCTCTTAGCCATTTCAATGTGGCTTTTTAAAAAATATCAGTAGTTGTAGAAAATCTGTTCTCCTAGTCCTCAGGTTGTTCTCAGAGATACCTGTTCTATATGTAGTTGTAATTTTGGTGTCAATGAGAGGAGGTGAACTCAGGAATTTCCATCATCTTTTTTTAAAATATATTTTTATTGATTTCAGAGAGGAAAGGAGAGGGAGAGAGATAGAAACATCAATGATGTGAGTGAACCACTGATTGGCTGCCTCCTTCATGCCCTACAATGGGGATCAAGCCCGCAACCCAGCCATGTGCCCTGACCAGAAATCGAACCACGATTTCTCCTGGTTCATAGGTTGACGCTCTACCACTGAGCCACACCTGCTGAGTGCTATTCCGTCATCTTGAACTCGGAGCCAGGAGCCTTGCTCTTAAATGCCAATATAGCTTGTCCTGTTCAACAAAAACAATTTTCACTTAAATCACTTTTTTAATCTTAAAAGCAATATCTTTTCTAAAGCTTTATCTGGCTATTAGCTATTATATTCATATGGAGAAGTAGAAATACTTTGAAGCAAAAACATTTTTCCAGCTAACTTCTACCAGTCCTTGGGAAAGAGCCATAAAAGTATTATGGATAGGAGAAAAGGAATCTTTAATTTCTATCATTTTTTAAACTTATATAACATATTTTGTCATATAACTCTTCCAAGTTATAATTTTTTTTAAATTATTGTTTAATGTACTACATATCTGGTAAGTCTTCTTTTTCCCCCATTTACCTCTTCCCAGTCGCTCCCACCCCTCAGCAGTTATAACTCTTTAGTATTGTTTTTAAGTTTTGCCATAGATTATGTTTTAATTTGTCTCTATCTAGTAACAATATTCAAAATAGTTTTAATGTTACTGAAAGTGATACCTAGTCTGATGTTTTATTAGGAACTCTTGGAAGCTGCCTACAGCGATTTACCACAATGCCATTCCTATTCTGTAACATCAATGAAGTATGTAATTTCGCATCTCGAAATGATTATTCATACTGGCTGTCAACACCAGCTCCGATGCCAATGGACATGGCTCCAGTTACTGGCAGGGCCCTGCAGCCTTATATTAGCAGGTAAAAATTCAATCCTTTAGTTTTGTGATGAAACCAAGCAATTTGTAATCACATTGTAAACAGCACATCACAGTGTAAAAAGTGATGCCCCACATTCTTTGTGTCATGTTACAGATGCACTGTCTGTGAAGGTCCTGCGATTGCCATAGCCATTCACAGCCAAACCACTGACATTCCCGTATGTCCCCATGACTGGATTTCTCTCTGGACAGGATTTTCTTTCATCATGGTAAGGAAAAAGGGACAGCAAATTTATAGTAAAAACTGCCTATAAAATACTAAATGCCCCCAAAATGTGACTGTCATCAACTTATATGCCATGAACATTTGCTTGTAAATCTGAAAATATACTCTCTTTTAAAAAAAAAAAAACAGTAAGTTGGGAGGAGGGGTTGGTAAAAAAATGAAGCATTTGAAAAAAAATCTCAGGAAATTACTCACAGATTCTAAATTAGGCATTTAGGTAAACAGTTACTACAGTATTGGTAATAAAATGTCTGTTTTTTAAAATGTGGTACGTATTTTATATACATACTCCATAATCCTTATGAAAACACTGCAAGATAGTTTGTATCATCTACAGATTTACATTAAAAAAATGAATAATTTCCCCAAGGTCCCACAATAAATAAGTAGTAAAACTAGGATTTGCATCTAAATCTGTCCCAAAATCTTTATACATTCATATGAAGATGGGAACTGAGAGAAATCGCATTTTAAAGAAAAATTCGCCTGATATAAGTGCTAAATTAAAAAATCTACGAACTGACCATGTAGTTAGTGGTTATTCATATTCTGTAAAGCATCATGTATGAGAAGTTAAGTCCTCCTTCTTTACTCACAATTGTCCATTGTTTCAAACATCAACACCTACCATATGCATGAATGGTCTAGGTCCTAAAGATACCTGCAGTGAACCAAAGTCCCTGCTCTCGTGGAGCTTCCATCCTAGTGGAGAAGGTAGACAATAAATAAGAAGACACAATAACAACAGGAATGAGCACAGACAGTAAATGGTCTACAAAGGACATAAGACAAGACAATAGAGAATTCTAGGCAAAAGAAAGTTTTTACTTCCTTTCTGATGACTATAGTTACTTGGCAAGTAAATGGAATGCTAGCAAATCTGAGCAAAGAAGTGTAAGAAGCTAAAATCATGCTTTTTTTCCTTGTCTTCTACTATATATATATATATGGCACTAAAAATTTCAACACCATGCACAGAATTCTTAATTCTGATACTTTGTGATAGTTCACAAGTGCAGGTTCTGAGGGCTCTGGGCAAGCACTGGCATCCCCCGGGTCCTGCTTGGAAGAATTCCGAGCCAGTCCCTTCATAGAATGTCATGGAAGAGGAACATGCAACTACTATTCAAATTCCTACAGTTTCTGGTTGGCTTCACTAAACCCAAAAAGAATGTTCAGGTAATTATTCAAAATAAAATTTAATCTAATGACTTAATTGCAGAACTATTAAAAGGTTGCCTATGTTAGATTCTGATTACCTGTTGTTGATGTACTCATTATTTCTAAAAGCTCCCGTACCAATAATATCCTGTTTAGCTTGGCATTTCTAGTTTGTAAGAATCAACAGGTAGCTATGGTTTTGTACTACTGTACCAACAAAGGCATCACTAGATGTATTTAACCCTTTGTACGCCGTAAGCATCTATAGCATAAAAACAAGATGTGGAGATTGTTTCTCTTTTAGATGTGTGGCTATTAATTGGTTAATATTTAAATCTAGATTGATGATAAATTACTGAATAAAACCATTAAATGATCTGCTAATTTTAATTTATTGTATTGGACAAGTTTTAAGGCAGGCTATTTAAAAAGCAGGTGTAGTTTTCATTACAAAAAGATGATCTGTATGTTTCCTCTGTGCTACGGGGATACAAACATGTTTACATATATACCTTTTCAGAAATATACCTTCTATAATAAAGTTTAGATGAGCTATAATAGGCATTAAGAAAACTCAAACCCAACAAGCATTTCCTTTTTAACTACAAATTGATGATATTTGTCTTTTTCTTTCTTATTTATTTATTTTCAGAAAACCTATTCCATCAACTGTGAAAGCTGGGGAGTTAGAAAAGATCATAAGTCGCTGTCGGGTGTGCATGAAGAGAAGACAATGAAGCAATCAATGAATATAGAACTGTTATTTTTCATCTTAAGTAATCAAGTAATGATGCATTTATTGGTTAAGTATTTAAATGCATTTATTTAAGTTTTTTTCTCTAACCAAACAATATCGCTCTATGATGGCTCGGTACAAAGTTTCTATTTGTGTACCTCACACAAAAAAGCACTTATTTAAGTTAGCTCTGTGATCCTGATCTCTAAATCTGTGTTTCAAAGTCCCCTCTGGTAAGGCAGCAGAGTTTTCACAAAATATCTCTGAAATTGTATTCCATCTGGATCTAAGGCTCTATCTAAATGGTGATTGTATAAAGTTTGACATGACAAAGTGAAGACCTATTTGGTCCACTAAATTCCCAAGATTTGCCCCCTTCTATTCCAGTCTTTGAGACTCAGAGAGGCTCTATCAGTTTTAGATTGCCCCACCTACTTCCCAAGACTTTAGATGCTAAGTAGAGGAGACTGGGTGAGTGGATTATGAGCCTTCATTGATGGAACTGGACTTTCAGATCTGTTAATTAGCCTAAGGCTGGAGGGAACCAGAATTAAACTGAGATGCACAGACTTCCCAGGGCTCTTTAAAACATCCCTAACACTAAGGCCAAAAAGGGGGGTTCCCTGAATGGAATCACAATAGCTGTGGAAACACAGTATGGCTTTGTTTTGTATTTTTAAAGTCTGTTTGTCCAGTGAATTTTGTTTGCTCATTATAGCAATATAGCCTACTTGTGTTCCAAGTAGGAACAATTTTTAACTTTAGTAACTTAATTTTGATAGAATATTTTTATACACATACTCTAAAATGTGTCTAAATTTTGACTTTTCTTTTACCAGCACAACCAAAAATAATAAAAAGAAAACTACTGCCGAAACCGGTTTGGCTCAGTGGATAGAGCGTCAGCCTGCGGACTGAAAGGTCCCAGGTTCGATTCCGGTCAAGGGCATGTACATTAGTTGCGGGCACATCCCCAGTAGGGGGTATGCAGGAGGCAGCTGGTCGATGATTCTCTCTCATCGATGTTTCTAACTATCCCTCTCCCTTCCTCTCTGTGAAAAAAATAAAATATATTAAAAAAAAAAAAAAGAAAGAAAGAAAAGAAAACTACTTAGATATGTACTTTATCCCTGCTGCTATAAATGTTAGTGCATATAACTGAATAGTTCAGTAATCCATGAAAGAACTTAAGGCATTAGTAGGATTATCAGGCTCAGAATATTTTTCCTTTGTTCTAAATATTCCATTTAATTTGGGTATTTTGATATCCTTTGTTACTTCTCTAATTCTCCTTTGGTAAAAACATGTTTTTTATATTACATATCCTTTCAAACTATATTGAGAGAGTCCACTATGTAAAATATTAATGTACAAATTGTATAGCTTGGCAGTGTTATAAAACTTGCTTTTCAGTGTGTTGATGCATTCCCAGAATTATATAATTAAACTTAACAAGCATTTTATTCAGCGCCAAGCGATATTCAGGCACTGTACTAAATTATAGAAACACTAAGAGGAGAAAGTTAATATATATATATATATATATATATAGAGAGAGAGAGAGAGAGAGAAAGAGAGGAGGAAATTATATATATATATATATATATATATATATATATATATATATATATATATATATAATCTGCAAAACATAAAAAACCATTTATACTTGATGGTAGCACTATTTGATGAGTCTCAGAAGTCAGGCAACCTAAGAAAAAGCTCTAAATATGTTTCTTGACCCACCTAGGTGGAGTTGGTGCTGATATTTAAATTCTGGTTTTGTTGCTTCAATCTCAGTTGCTCTGGAAGACAGCACAGACTGTGACCATGGTCCGCATCCTCCACTGCTCAAATGACTGCTGTCAAGCCATTTTTACATTTAAATGAAGAAGCACTTTTTATACTCAGATTACTTGTTTAGACTCACCTAATATTAAGACTTTTTCCTCTAAAAATATCTTACTGTCCAAATTGCACTATCCTGGCATGGAGGGCTAATGGGTCTCCACAAACCCTCCACAGGCCAGGAGTTCTTGAAGTGTGGTCCCTGGACCAGAAGCACGTGGAAACTTGTCATAAATGCAAATTCTAGGGCCAACCCAGACCTACAGAATTAGAAACTCGGGGTAAGTCCCAGAAATCTGTTTTAACGAGTCCTCCGGGTGATTTCCAATGTACCCTAAAGATTGAAAAAAAAAAAAAAAAAAAAAAAAAAACTGCTCTGGGCAAATACCCCCCCAAAACAACAAGTGTACTGCAGTTACCAAGTAGAGCTGGCTACAGTGTTCTACCTGTCCCTCTCTTGCAAGTTCAAACTCACAAATGAACTTAAGGCTATCTAATGTTACTAATAAGAAAAAGCCCTAGATTGGTGCTAATGCCAAGTAACTGGCTGCCGCTTATCCCCCAATCTCCATCTTTCTTGCCGTCTCATCAGTGTTTAACTTCTGAGGAAGACAAGTAATGCTAAATTCCAATGAAGCCATACTAAGCTGCTCAAACATACTTCTAAGACTGAGCATTAAAACATAATGCTCAGTGCATTACTTTCTATAGTAGTAGCTTTATAATCTGAGTTTATAAAGTTATGAAGATTTAACTTTGCAGATAAAATGTAAAATAACTTGTTTCTTTTATATTTGGGGCTTCACCTTTGGAATTTCACAGCTTGCTCAGAGGTCTCTCGTTTTGCAAGATAAATATTATTAAGTAACTTATTTATAAAAAGAATTACAATAATACAATATTTGAGTTTTATTACTAATTTAACTTACAAAGATTTTTCTATGCATCAAATGTAACTTACTGCTTCAAAACAATTTAATATTCACTCTGTATCCAAATGAAATATATTTAAAATATATTGAATATTTTATATTATATTTTGACAATATTACAATATTGTGATGTACTAATATTTCTGTAATTATAGTGAAAATATAATTTTATTGTATTGTATAATAATAAAATTTTTAAAATTATATCTGGTCTTATTTTTTCCAAGTGAAAATACATTTTTTTAAATTTTAAAAATTTTAAATTTTTAAATATGTTCACTGTAAAAACAATAGACAATACAGAAGTTAACAGATTGTGGACACATTCTCATATCCATAAATAAGAACTAATCATTATTTTCATGGATTTACTATATGTCAATGAATCCCCAATTAATGGACACTTCATTTAGTTTTATTATGGACATGTGCGTATTTCTTATCACAGTTTGTAAAAATAGGTTCTTTATGGTTCCAAGGTTTAAGACAAATTAGAGAAAGAAAAAGATTGAAGAGAGGGAGTCCAGTTAAAAGGGTAATATACAAGTAGTCTAGAAATGGGAACGGAAAGTACAATGTCAGTTGACATTGAGGTGAGAGACTGTAAAGATGGGGGACTTGGGAGACAGTGAAAGGCGACTTTGGAATTTTGAACCTTGGTGACTGAAATTAACTGAAAAAGGAAATTCAGGAGAAAGTATCTGGATTGAAATGAGGAAGAAATTTTAGTTTGAAACAGTTTTGGGATCAAAGCTCCAACAGGACACTTGGGCTAGAACTATGCAATAAGATGAGACTAAATGGATGTAACCTATTCAGATTTTTATGCCACCTTTTCCCACAAAAGATTTGAGGCAAGCAATGTGGTGAAAGTTAATGATAAATAGGAATGGACAGACACATGAATGAAGTCCCAGAATGAAGCTCTTGTCACAAGACACAAGGCAGTAGAATTTCCAGGTAAAAGAGAGAAATATGCCTTTTTTCGGGTGTTGTGTTTTTTTTGTTTTTTGAGATACTACCAATAGTGTTAAATGCTTTCACACATCATTCTCAAGTCTCATTAACCGAATCAAACGATTCAGGAAGATTAAGGGTGATCAGGAGTAAAGGAAAAGACTTTGGATTGGTAAGTGAATTACCTAAGAAATGTCCTGAGTTTATTTGAGCCAAACATGTCGGGGGCAGCAAGATCTCAAATGCTCTGGAAAATAACAGTTTGCAGCTTCTTTTATGCATTTGAAATTAAGGAGGGAACTAAGGAAAATGATATGGATGTGGGATTGGACTACAGGATAGTTAAAAGATCACCTGCTTTCTTGAAGGTGGTTACTCTAATTTCAAAGGTGTGTTAACCTAGATGTACAGGGCTTAAGACAAAGACAAACCTCTCACTAAAAGTTATGTGCCTGGTGCATCAATATTCACCAAGACCTGCCCAGTTAGTTACTTATGATCAGATAATCCTGAGGTTACTTCCCTTTTTTGTTTTCAACCACACAATCTTAAAAGTTTGTTTTTTCTTGGGGGAGGAGGGGACAAGAGTAAAAAAAGCTAAATTGCAATTAATTAAAAGGTCAAAGGGTAGTGGTGGAAGCAGCAGGGCTCTCCTTCCTAAAGGTTGTGGTCATAGATGGCTTATCCACCTCGGTCTCTTTCTGCCTCCAAAAAACGTTGGTTTGTTAAGTCCAATGAGTCCTAAAATAAATCTCTTAAGGAGGAATGACTTGCCATTGCTATGAAGAATCCCAAGAATGCCATTCTCAGAGGGCCTCCCAAATTATCTTGAACAATGGCAACATCTCTGGAATATCTTAATTCTAGGGAAATTGTTCGGCTCAAGTCTAGTCATACTGAGTATTCCGCGATTCGGCGCCAGTCCGGCCCAGGGTTGGTGGACACGGACCTGGTTTTTCCCGCGGAAGGAAAGATGGCTAGATCCAAAGAGAGGTCTCCAAAAGCTTGAAAACAAAACGAGACTGACTACAGTGAAACCTGAGTCCTCCGGGATCCTCGTCTTGAAAGATTAAGGGAGCCCGTCAAACCAGGGTCACTGTCAAGCGAGGCGCCTGAGAGTTAAAGAACCTAAACAGCCACCAGCATTAAAGCGTTTAAGGTTAATCACGTGCAGGATGGTGACTAACAGGAGAAAGGGGGTGGCGGTAGTGAAGAGGGGTGTGTGCAAGAGGCAGCTGACCCATGATCCTCTCTCACCGATGTT